AGTGTTACCAATGAGAATAAGGAGCAGATGGAATTTTGGAGATGGCAAATGTGACACCTTTATTCAAGAAAGAGTGTAAGGGCATTTCAAGCAACCACATCCAATTAGTTTGATTTTAATGCTAAGTAAGGTTTTAGAAACAACTGTTGGGACATGAAAAGGTTTATGTTTCTTAAGTGTGGTCAAGACAATTTTTACTTATTTGCACGACACAAATGTCAAGTTAATGTCAAGCTAACTAGTAAAATGCAAAAGCATAATTCTTGTTATTTTGGTACACTAGTCATCATGTGACAGTGCTCATTGTGTAACTATTGGACAGAGGGATGTTTTTAACAGTATAGGCAGAAGGCTAAATGGTGAAATCAACCATGTTGCAGAAAAATCTTTGACCCTTACTTTACTAATTTTGGACAAATATGTGGCACACTATTTGCTGGAGCTTTTTTATCTACTGGTAGCAATAAATCCAATTATGAATGGAGGATAAGCCATTGGTAATATACTTTATGCTAATTACTTTTCTGAAAAGAAATTCTGGCTATATTCTCTAACTTTGTATTATTTTATTGATTTATACTTGCGACAGCAATCAAGCAGGATGTAATGTTTCGCAACAGTCTTACAAAGAATTTGGGAAAAATATAACTTGAAACTTTCATGGCCTTTAGTGAATGATTAAAGAACTCAGTGGAGAAGGAGGCTCCATGTGTGTCCCCATTCACAATGATGGGACAGCCCAGCACATGAGTGCAAAAATAGACCTGAAGCATTTGCAGTAACCTTCAGCTGGAGGTGTCAAGTGGATGATCTGTCTTGGCTTCCTCCAGAGATTGCACATTGCAGATGCCAGTTCTCAGCAAATTTAGTTCACTCCACATGGTATCAAGAAACAACTTAAGGCATTGAATGCTGCAAAGGCTATGGTAGTTGAATGCAATTCTGCAGGTGCTGAATTAGTGAAATAACTTTGACTCCAAATGGACTGTGGGGTGATCAGTCTAACTGATATTGTCGTGACTGAGCAGCACATCCGTGACATGTAGATTGGTGAGTATAAAGTCAATTGGATGAATTGCCCTTGGTTCGCTCACCACCTACCACTGATCCAGTCGAACAGTTATGTACTGTAGCACTTGACTAGTTCAGTCAGTAGTGATGTTACTGAGCTGCTCTTGTGATGGGCATTGTAGTTCCCCACACAGAGTATAATCTGTGCCATAGCCAGTCTGTGAGCTTCCTCCAAGTGATGTTCAGCATGCTGTACTGACTCATCAGGAAGGAAGTTTGATAAGTGAAAACCAGCAGGAGGTTTTCTTGTCCTTGTTTGACCTGATGCCATGAGACTTCATGGAGTCAGGAATCAATATTGATTCCTATCAGGGCAACTGCTTCCCTATGGTATACCACATTGCCATCACCTCTGGTGGGTCTGTCCTGCCAGGGGGACAGGATGTAGTCTGGGATGGTGATAGCTGGAGCATTTTCTGGTATGATTTCTTGAGGTTGACTGTCTCAGGCTATTGCTTGATATGTGCATGGGACAGTGCTCCCAATTTCTGCATAACCCTCCAGATGTTGGCAAGGAGGACTTGCAGAGTCAACAGGGATGTGTTTGCCTTTGTCTTTTCTCTTTCCTTGGTTGATGCTGGATGGTCCATCCATTTTAATTTCTTTGTTTTAGTCTTTTGGAGTAGTTTGTTGCAACTGTGTAATTTCCTGTACCATTTTATAGGGGAGTGGAGAATCAAACACGTTGTTGTGGGTCTGTAGTCATAGTAGGCCAGGTCAGGATGGCTGACTTCCTTCCCAAAACCAAATGAGTTTTTACGACGATCGATAAGGGTTACATGGTTGCCACTGGGCAAGCTTTTTTAATTCCAGATGTTTCGTAGTGAATTCTGTCGTGTTAGGATTTGTACACGTGTCCCCAGAACATTAGCCTATTTGACCAATCCAGTGCCATCACCACTGTACAGCCCTCCCCATGGATTGTTCACTGAAGATAACGGGGCAAGTTGAGAAGGTGATCAAGAAAGCATATGGAATATTTTTCTTGATTAGCTGAGATGCAGAATATCAGAGCAGGAAGGGAAGTTATTGCAGATTTGTAGAAAACATTGATTTGGCCACATCTCGAGTATTGTGCACAGTTCTAATCGTGTAACTGCAGAACGAAAGGGTACCGAGAAGAGTTATGAAGATGCTGTCAGTAATGTCTAAATGCAGCTATGAAGCGAAATTGAAGAAGCTGCAATTGTTCTCTTTGGAGCAGAGGTTAATTGTGATATACAAAATAATGAAGGGCTGGTTTGAGTGAATGGGAAGGGCCTTTTTACTCCAAGAACTGCCTCAGTTCGGTAACCATTTGTGAAATCATTCTTCTGTAACACATCATGTTAATTACACCCCCCTCACTAAAATGGAAAAGTAGGTCCTCTACGCTCTGCAGCAAAGAAAATGCATCTCAAATTGATTTTACAATGATAATCAATTCTCGACCTTTCTGTAACAACTGTAGGGATGGATCATCATATTTACATCTTAGACATTGTGATAACTGTCATTAGGAAATTCCTTGGCTTGGAATAGGCTAAGGATACTGCAGCAAGTGACTTGCTTCCTGACTCCCTAAAGCCTGTCCATATCTACCAGGCACAAGTCAGGACTGTGATGCTCCCCACTTGCCTAGTAGGTATGGACAAACATGTGTTTGTTGCCCTTGTCCTTCTACATGTAAGTGGTCATGGGTTTGAAAGGTGCTCGGGTTCTTTGGCAAATTTCTGCAGTGCGTCTTCTAGATGGTACACACTACTGCGACTTAGTGCCTGTAGTGGAGGGAATGGATGTCTGTGGATGTAGTGCCAATCAAATGGGCTGCTTTGTCCTGGTTGGTGTCAAGCTTGAGTGCTATTGGAACAGCACTATTATCCAGGCAAGTGGAACATCACCACTTGCAAGCACTCCTGTAAGCCACTTACCACCCTGACTTGGAAATACATTGCCATTACTTCAGTATTGTTGATTCAAAATCTTTTGAATTCTCTCTGACGGCATTGTAGTCTACCTGTGGCACATGGACTGCAGCAATTCAAGAAGGAAGCTCACCAGTGCCACCTTTTCAAGGGCACAAAGAACAGACAATATCTGCTAGCCTATTTGGTGATACCCACAGCCCAAAGTGAATGAAATAATGTCAGTGACTCGGCAGCATAGGCTCACTGTGATTGGTAGAATGATCAGAGGAGAGGTGAGGAAACAGTTTTGCACCCAGAAGGTGGGAGAGATCTGAAACTCACTGCCTGAAATGCTCAACCCATTTGACCCGGAATGTTGTTTGTGTTTTATCTCCACAGATTTGGCCAGGACTTTGTATCTCCAACAGTTTCTATTTTTGTTTCAGTTTTCCAGCATCCCCAGGTCTCGATTTTATTGTGAGGCTGGAAAGTGGGAGTAGGCTTGGGTGGCTTATCTTTTGGCTTGCACAGAAAAAATGGACTAAGTAGCCTCTTTTTGTGCAGGAAACTTTGATTCTTTGAACATCTCCGACCTTCTATATTACACTATCTGAGCAATTTGTCTTTTGTAAAACCTGCAGTCACTCCCTGCCTTATGTGAAAATCATCCCTGTGTAACCAGCTGATGCGTACACTGTGGACAAGTGTACATGTTGTCTCAATTCTAGCTTGTTTCTTCTCAACTTGTTTCTTTGAATGTAAACTTGTAACTGCCAGATGATTTCATCAGAACCATTGACTTGCTAGTCAGCTTCTTTTAACCTGCTTTTAGCATGTTTGAAAAATCAAACTCTCGAAGCTAAACTACTTCACAGTCGTTGCTCTGTAGTCTGTAATTTTGTGTTTAAAGTTATTTTTTATTTCATCAGTATTTAGAGTTGCATTGCACTTACTTTTTACAGTCATATTTCATCATGTTCTTGGATTGTAACTGGATGTCTCGTCAGCTTTTGGTTTTTCCTTGCGGTATTTCCCATGAGTGAGAACAGAGTCAGACATCCTAATATTCCATTGCCTTTTTGACTTTATGCATTTGAATTTCTCAGAAAATTATAGGATAAAAGTGATGTAGCACATGTTTTTTCCTGAAAAAAAAAAGCTTGAAGATTTCTTTCTGGTTAAAAATCTTTGGTTTTCATCACTTCAGATTCCATAGTCTTTCCTTGCATTTGAGCCCAGTGTCTTTGTCATTTTGAAAATTTCTGGTGATGTCAAAAATAAGGAATTTCCTGATGGCAGTTATTTCGATATTGAAGATTTAAATATGATTCTGCACCTGTGTAGTTGTTAGTAAAAGGTTGAGAACTGAATATCATAGTAATATCAAATTGAGATGTGTTTCCCTTGTTTTGGAGCATAGAGGACTCACTTTCTCATTTTATTGACAGTGGGTAGTTAACATGATGTGTAACTGAAGAATGTTTTCACAATTAGTTACTGGACAGGCAGTTCATCAGGCTGTTCTGTGAGATTTGGTTGTGCATTCTCTTAGAAATACTCATCAAATTATGAATGCAAGCAATGAATTAGTTGTGGTTTCAGTTTGGCCTTACAGATATTTATGAATAGGAACACAGCTCATGGAGCAATTTATGTAAAGTAAGGAGTCGTAATATTGTAATTTTAGGAAGGCAGCAGATGCATGGGAGCACCACCACTGCAAGCTGCCCTCCAGTCACACCCTACCCTGATTTGGAATGAGATTGCTGTTGTTTCACTGTCAGTGCATCAAAATCTGGAACACCCTTCCGAACAGGACTGTATGTGTTCCTCCACCCAACGACTACAGTATTTTAATAAGACAGTTTGCTATCACCTTTTCAAGGGCAATAAGCTGCGTACAGTGAACGGTGGCCCAGCCAGCGATGTTGACATCCCATGAACGAATAACAAGAAACGAGAATATACTTTTTGTTAGATCATAATGGTATTGTGTTTAGAAGTGCATGGACTTGATTTGTACAGTTTTTGACTGTTGGCCAGTTCTTTTAAAATTACTGACAACTGTTTTATTTTACAGTGTACAGTTATGTCGCAGTCTTTCTGAAAATCGAGGCTACAATGATGTAACATTTAAAGGTAAGATTCTCTAGAGTGTGAATATATATTCAGATAATTAGCTTCATTAACAGGCTGACCTGACTTACTTTTGGACTTACTTGGGGACTGGATTACTTCACAGAGAGCTAACTTGCACATTTTTGGACTGTGCTAGGAAACCAGAGCACCCGGTGGAAACCCATGCAGATACGAGGAGAACTTGCAAACTCCACACAGGCTGTCGCCTGAGGGTGGAATCGAACGTGGGTCTTCTGGCACTGTGAGGCAACAGTGCTAACCACTAAGGCACCATGCCGCCCACAGTGTTAGTTTGAAAGAGGGGTTACGTGAAGTTAGTTGGAAAAGTAGCATGCCTGAGGACTGGGAGCAGTTTAGAATTCAGCAAAGGAAGACCATGAATAACATTAAGAGAAGAAGCATAGAACATGAGGATTTGCAAAAAATGTAAAAGTCGACGTTTGTGTGAGAACAAACCAAGTTTGTCCAATCTCTCCTCATAGCAAATTTCCTCTACACTAGGCAGTGTTGTGGTAAGCCATTTCTGTAGCCTCTCCAAAACCTCCATGTCCTTTTGGTCGTGTGACAGTCTATTCCGAATGTGGCCTATCTGAAGTTCTTTACAGCTGCAACATGACCTGCCAGTTTTTATACTGTCTGCCCTGACCGATGAAAACAAGCATACCATATACCTTCTTGACCACCTTATCCACTTGTGTTGTCACTTTGAGGGAACTGTTGACCTGTACGCATAAGAGACTTGTGTATATTGATTCTGCTAAGGGTCTGCTATTTACTATGTACTTCACTCCGCCAATAGAACTTTCAAAATGCATCACCTCCATCTGCCATTTCCCTGCTCAAGTCTCCAGTCTATGTATATCCTGCTGTATCCTCTGGCAATGCTCCTCACCATCTGAAGTTCCTCAAAACTTTGTATCGTCTGCAAACTTACTAATCAAGCCACCTATATTCTCCTCCAAATGATGCGTGTGTGTGTGTGTGTGATCTTATCAAAGGACTTAATATAAGTCCACATAGACAACATGTACTGACCTGCCCTCATGAATCATTTTTGTCACTTTCTCAGAAAACTGAATCAAGTTTGTGAGACATGACTTCCCCGCACAAAGCCATGCTGCCTATCACTAATAAGTCCATAATTTTTCAAACATGAGTAAATCCTATCCCTAAGAATGTCCTCGAATAATTTCCCTACCACTGATGCAAGGCTCGCTGGTCTGTAATTTCCGGGATTATCCCTCTTGCCCTTCTAAAATGAAGGAACAACGTTGGCGATTCTCCAGTCCTTGGGAGAGGTCCCAGGAACGAAAAAGGGTCAAGATTTTGGATAAGGCCCCAGCAATTTCCTCACCTGCCTCCCTCAGCATTCTGGGATAGATCCCATCAAGTCCTGGGGACTTGTCTACCTGAATGCTTTTCAAAATGCCCAACACAACCACTTTTTTAATATTGACAGAATATTATGCCCCAGAATATCAACATACCCCACCACCTACCTGTGATGTCATGTATTTATTAAGGACCTCAACCACTTCCTCCTGCCCCATGCATAAAGTCCCTCTTCTGTCCTTTGGGTGGTCCTAACCCTTTCTCTTGTTACCCTTTCGGTCATTGTATATGTATAAGACACCTTGAGATTTTCCTCAATCCTGTTTGCCAAAGATGTTTCCTAGCTCCTTTTACCCCTCATCACTCTCTGCTTGAGTTCTTTCCTGCTATCTTTCTATTCTTTGAAAGCTTTGTCACCTTCAATTTCCTTTATTCTTTGAGGGCTCTGTCTTCAGTTTCCAAAAGAGTACAGGATTGTCCTCTTGGCGTTGCCCTGTTTAGCTTTTTTTCACTTCTGTATTACTCATTTTTTGGAAACATTTCTTGTTGTCATTGTATATCACTTTTTTTCACTTTGACATAACTTGCTTACTTCTTTAGTGTCCATTACCAATACAGATAAGTGTTTAGTACTGCACTATCTATGTTTTAGACGCTTTCTCCTATTATGTCCTGATTTGGCCTCAACTTTCCTAGACTCACTTCGTGTTCTGCACTAATTTCGTGGTCACATTCTTAACTTTAAACTCCCGATCTGTTCTGCCCATCACTGTTTGCTCAACTCCTGGGTCCGAGCTTCCCTCAAATTGAAATGAGGTCCTAGGATTCCATCTTGTGGCAATGTCTATTATTGCAGGGACCCCTGTGAGACCAGTTACACCAACCAGCCTCTGCCACTAGATAGAACCTGGACAGTCTAACAATCCTGTAGAAGATTTCATGTGTGTTTTATATTTTTAAATTTTAACTGTTGATTTGCCCCTTTGGGAATTGTAATAATTCCAAGTACAGTTAGAACTATATTTCAACTTGGAGTTTCCAGGTATAATGTTTTAAGTTTTTTATATCTGGACAAGACGTCCTGAGCGAGCCAAAATTGAGTTTTTACTTTAGATTTGATATTGGTTTTCCTATGGGAATGAATGCTTTACTAAAGTCGAGATTTTTCAGAAAACAAGTCAGATTTTGTGAGGACGCTATGTAACAACGGGTGACGGAAGGAATGTACTAATAATCAAGAGTCCCATCACTCCTCCAGTTGCACAATTTATCCAGTTGGCAAATGCTCAGGTTCTTTCTGGTGCTATTATCAAAAATAAACGAAATGACCACTGGGCTCCTGAATGAGCTCAAAAACAATCTGTTTATTACGAACAAAACCTTTTCATAAACCAAGTGGTGAACTCTGGTTAACACCTGAGCTATGATCTGGAGTCAAAACTGTATCTCTCTAATCCCATTTGCATAGACACTTGTATAACAAAAACAAGACATGTCTCTGCAGAGATGAGATAACAAGGCGTAGAACTTTCTGAAGAAGGGTCTAGGCCCGAAACGTCAGCCTTCCTGCTCCTCTGATGCTGCTTGGCCTGCTGTGTTCATCCAGCTCTACGTCTTGTTATCTCAGATTCTCCAGCATCTGCAATTCCTACTATCTCTGCAGAGATGAGTTTTTTTTTTATAAAAAGGCAAAAGGAAAAAAAGTCTCCATTGGGCCCAAGGTCTGGAAACAAAAGATAATGTGATAACTTGTCACATCTACAGAGTTGTCCTGTTAATGATGAATTTCTGATATTGTGATTGGTAATAAATGTGCAGTACTGATTCCAATCAACCTGAATCTGAGACCCTAAGAATTGGGCACAGTCCAGATTTAACTAGATAGACAAAAATAATCATGTTTGGAAAATCTTTCAGAGGAAATTCTAGGAAACGTTATTTTGGGAAGTAGACTGCAGCTTCTCGGCATCGTTTTTCTGTTCCGACTGCTAAGGCTGCAAAATAGACTTCTGACATTGGAGCGGGTTGCTCAGCAACCATTTTCATAGCCTTGAGTCCCCTCAAAGCGAAGTTTTCATTTGGTAATTCCAGTAATAAATTCCATTTCTTATTTCTTAGAAGTTTGAGCTTATATCCTCCAAAGTCAGTTCATTTCCAGAAAAATGTTGCTCAGAGCACACATTAAACTTCTGATTTCAGTAATGACAAGGTGGGTTGCAGTTCACATCCTGGTGAACACAATTCTAAGAAATGACATGGAAATTTTCCTGATTTGATAAAGATTAAAAAAGCCCATTTCTTTCACTCCCTTCACGTAGTTCCTAAGTAGGTGTGTGTATATGTATATTAATACAAAAGCAAGACTTTCATTTTATTTATCATTTGTTGCAACTTTGAAATGTCCAAAAGTACTTGACAGCCAATGAAATATTTTTGAAATGTTGTCACTGTTGTAGTATGGGAAACTGGCAATTTTACTTACAATATTAAATATAGAATGTTGTGGAGGATTGTTGATTTCCTTGATGATGTTTGCAAGTTCAAAGACTTCTTTCATTCAAGCCCCTCCCCCCTTAATACGACACCCAAATTTGGCCCATATTATTAGATATTTCTGAAGCAAAATTGATATAAAGTCTTCTGAATTCTGGTCGACTCTGCACAGAACTTCAAACCCCAAATCATCTGTCCCAAGGTGTTTCAATACTTTTAATCATGTCTTCTTGATTTACAAATTCTTGAATTTCTAATAAACCTGGTTAATTTTTCTTTCTTTTTCATTGATTCTTAGGATATTGTTGTCACTGACGGCAGCATTTGTTTTCCACCCCTAATCTGGTCTTGACTTAGTAGTGGTTTGGAGCTGTTTTGAAACATTGCAATTCTGCGTATTGATGGCATTCTCACAATGCTGTCAAGTAAGGGACTCAAGGATTTTGACCCAGTAATAGTGAAAGAACAATGATTGCAAATATTTCCTCATCATCCCGTTCAGCAATGTTGTTATACACTTCTGGAGCAGGTGGGACATGAACCCCAGTGTCCAAGTCCAGAGGTAGGGACACTACTACTGAGCAACAAGAGCCTTCCTCAAGGAATGGCAAGTGTATGTTCATAACAGGATAATGTGTGAAGTGGAGAGGATGGTGTTCACATGTACCTTCTGACATTGTCCTTCTCATGAGTCTGACAGCTGCCAGTGAGATTTATGCGTGGCTTATTGCAGGACTTCCAATAGAGAATATACACTGCAGCTACGATTTTAAAAAAAGACTACACTCTCTGGAGACATATTTCATAAATGTAAGATTCCTCTGTTTGTTCAAAAGGGATCAAGTTTCTTTAATCATTGAAATTTGGTGTAGCTTTTCAGTAAATAGTTCTAATTTTTTTTTGCTGCTCACAATCTCATTTTTTTGATTTCCTCAGTTTCCAACAACTTTGTAATGCAGTTTTAATGCCCCTTTACTAACATGGGTTTAATTTATTTGGAAAACAGATATTCAACAAGTTTTATACGAGTTGGCGTGGCATGTTATAAAGGGCAATCTAAAACAAGAACAAGCTGCCAGTGCGCTCAGTGATGTAATGGTAAGTGATTCACTGCTGAAAATGTTTTTGCATTTGCAGCAATTGAGCACACCCTTGCTATATTCTTCACATAAACTTACATTTAAATCTTGCAGAAGATTATTGATATTGCTCAAGAAGGGCACATACTGAAAACCAGAAGATAGTACCAAACTTATATTTGTGATTAACATGTTGGCTCCTCAAAAGAGCTGTTCTTGCCTGTGCTTACCAAAAGCAGTTTTGTGGAAGCTTCCTGGTTTGGGTCTTGAATTTAGATTTGTAAAAATCTCATTTTTACTTATTTCTCTTCTCTCAGTTAATACCAGTTAAGCACAACACACAGTCAATGCCATACAATCTCTTAAATGCTGTGTTTACATGAGCGCACCCATTGTAAAGTGCAAAATTTCAAAGGCAACAATTTCAATTCAATTGTTTGATATGACTGTAGGGTTTTTTTTTTCCCTTATTTCAATAACAGAACTTCCAAAGTTGTCACATGTGAAGAAGAACTTTCCAAGTGAGCACACAGTTATGCTGCCAGCTACTGACCCATAGAGTTTTCCCCTTCATTAGGGAGCCTTACTTTTGTGCTGAGATAAGACTTGCATCAATGACTTAGTGACACTCAGCATCAAAAGATCCAAAGTTAAATATGTTTCAGTATTTAATAATCATCTTTGATTAATTGTATGATGCAAGCCCTTTGTTGTTTTCTTCAGATTTGGTGTTCAAAACAAAAACCAAGCATTTTATCCAAAATTACATCAGTTTTTTGATTGCAAATTTATTTGCCCTGAGTTTTGTTTTAATTATAATTGCAGAGCCCAAAAATCCATGTTATTGCATCAGCAGTAAAAACTGGCTGTGAAATGATAGTGACTGCCCATGACATAAAAGCTGCATTTTACTCGGTGTGGCATCAAATGAGACTTAGGAAGATTGGGATAGATGGCAGTCGGGGGAAATCTTCCTGCTAGTTCAAGCCAAAACTGGTTAATGGATGTTATGTTTGGCAGTCAGTCACCTCAGTTCCAGGAAATTGCTGCAGGAGTTCCTTGGGATAGATATTTTCTAGTCAACATGTTCACAGTTGTTATTATGCGCCACTGGATCAGGTGCGATTTGAAGCAAGGCCTTCCCTGTTGGGACATTATCAGTGCTCTACAAGAGGCATAGAGGTCTACAGCACAGAAAAAAAGCCATTCTGCCATCCTTAATGCAAGGACACGAACAGTAGAGTTTTGGGGGTTGTGTATGGATGTCGGTGAGGTGATCATTGGAAAGATGGTAAACAGAAATAATAAAGAATGAATTAAGATTTTGGCATCAGATGAGCTGAGGCAGGGGCAAAGGTCAAAATTGGTGGTTTAGCTACGGTTGTTTGGTTGAAAGTTCATCGCAGCATCAAACCTGAGACAAAGTTTATGAGCTGTCATATTAAACCTCATGTGGTTGCCAAGGAGAGAGATATAATCAGTGTTACGTTGTATCATAATATTTCTTGCTTTTCACTTCATAAATTGCCACACTACGATTTATAAATATGCTAATTTTAAAAAAAGAGCTTTGATAAACTGACCTTCCCCTTCTCCCTCATCCCCAGAAAAATAATGACTTCTGCATGGATGAACCAGTGTTGGTCTTAATGGGTTGGTTTTCCTTATTTTTTGCAGGAACTTCGAGATGATATGTCATCCATCCTGGCTGATGTTTTCTGTGTTCTTGGTGAGAATTACAAATGTTCTTTGCAGCAGTTAATTTTTGTTAACTTCTTGCAATTGTCTTGAGAATTCAGAAGATTAATGACAGAAAATGTTAATTTCAGATATTGAAACAAGTTGTATGGAAGAGAAAAGTAAAAGAGATCATTTTACTCAACTGGTTTTAGCATGTTTGGTGAGTGCTTTAAAATATAAGTAATGATTGTTTTCTTTGGATGTTTTAGTGTTGCCGATGGATTTATTATTGCATGCAGACTTGTCACATGATGTCTGCCATATTTTAGAATATAAATCACTGGTACCCAATGGTATCCAAATAATTAATAAGCATGATTCATTTACTTGCAATATGGCTTGTAATTGCTGAAAAGGACATTTGGCATCACTGTAAACTCCATGCTAGATGTGGATTTCAAGGTGCATTGTTTCTGCCAAGGGTTAGGTGTTTCAAAATTATTGAAATTAAGCCAACTATTTGAATCCTGATTGACTAAAGTTGGTTATGATGTGGTGGTGTGCAGTGCACCTGTTGCTGATTCTTAGCACCAACAAGTTAAGGAAGTCAAAGGAATAGAAAATTTAACTGATAATTGAAGGTTACGTTGTCAGAGTAATTGAGGACAGGGGCGGAAGCAGTCATTTGACCAATGGCGTTTGCACTTTGTGACGGTGTTGGGCCAGAAGGCATCTGCAAAGCCTTTTGTCAATTATTTGTTAAATAATTACAATTAACTGCGATGGTAAGAGTCCACTAGAGGGTGAAATTGCTCTATGAATGCTTTGTACTTGTTCCTGATTACAATTTGCAATGCAAAATTCCACTTTAATTTGGAGAGAAGGCCACTTTACAGAAACCAACACTATCGTGAACAGTGCAAACTGATTCTTTGCAGAAAACTTGCATTTAACTAGAAGTGTTGTTGATAAAGATGCAGTTCATTCAAAAAATTATTAGTGAAGTAACACTGTACTCAAAACTCTGCTTTTGTTTAAGCAAACAGACTGGAAGAGGGAGAGCTCTCCGAAGAACACTTATCAGTGTAGAGGTTGTATTTTACTGAAATAGATACAGAAATCACTTTATGCGGCCATAGGTTTTATGATGCTGTTCTTTGAATTAGGTGATACAGTGTTATGTTAGAAATTGGTTAGTAGCAGAATATGTGAAATTGTGTTCCTATTTCAAAGCATCTGTTTTAGGGAGACTAATGTAACTAATGCCTTTGGAATGAAAAATATTCAAGGGAAGTTCATACAAGGAAAAGTTGCTGAACATAAAAATATGGAGTTTCACATGCAAGTAAGAGTGCAGGTAGATAACAGTAATAAAGGGAAGAGTGATATTTTATAAAGAGGTGATATACAAAAGTGTAGAGGTGATAAATTTGAATTTGAGTGATTAGGTTGCAAATGATGCAGTTTGCACACTTGCAATAAAAACTGCATACAAAGCTTTAAAGAGTGTGGAAGTGAAACTTTATCGACGAGGATAAATTTGAAATACTGACTACAAAAGATTATAAAATGGTAAGAGGGGTTTTAGTAAGGTATTTAAAAATTGTGTCAAAGTCTGAAGGTGTAAATTGTAAAATATTGTCTTCTGTGTATTGATGACCATGTCTTGTGCCATTAACTTAGTCCAATTAGAGCTACATTGTGGCAGATAATAGGTGAGGTATGGATGTGACCTTAAATGAGTTGCTGGATATTACTCAAGGAATGATCTATTCAGAGGTAAGCATTATCCTCCAGGATGGTTTTGATGCACCCTGTCTCAGCATCAAGTTTCGCAGTGAAGAAGTGAATCATATCTACTTACAAGTTTGCTGTGAAGGCCGATCTGTGGCACATGCAGCTGTAGAAAATCTGACAACATTTCTTTATTCAACATTACTAAAGTTTTGTACTACCAAATAACTATTTGAATATGCTCCTCCAGAAAACCATTTGACATTTGGATCTCTTCAACTTATGTCAAGATTAAAATCTTCAAGGTTGTTTCCAGTGTGTTTTTTTTTGCGATCATCCATTGTTTCATGCTACAGCGCAATTCATGTCAAAGTGCCTATAAACCATTCCCATGAATAACTGTTTTTCTTGGCTATCTCTTCTTTCCACCCAAACTGCATTTACATTTTGACCATCTAAACCAAAATCATTTTTTCGTCATTGGATTGATTCCATCCTCATGCTACCACAATTCGTTTTCCTTTCTTCCTGTCCTTGCAAAATGTCAAATATCTTGAATATTCATGTCCCAGATGTAATCACATTGCAATCATGTTCTCTGTCATAGCTGTCACATCATGCTGTATTTATATTTGTGGTAACAATTCTTTCATCTTATTACAAATGTTGCATGCATTCAGATAAAGAACTTTACAGTGTGTTCTGACCGTTTTTCTCAATCTGATACACGACGTTTGTCTGCTCCTTCCACACTAGGATTCTAAACTTCATATCCCACATGACCCATTTGTGTGATATGGATGGCAAACTCATAGTTAGAGTCGGGATAGAATTAGTTTCTGTTAAACTGATGGTCAGCAGTAGTGAAAGTATATGTGGGGACAAGGGGAAGAAAATCTTTTCTCTTGCTCCCTGAATTTTTTTTTTAGCTTTTGTCATGTACCTGTGCTTAAGCAATAATTCTCATTTGTATTCACACGCTGTTATATGTAATGAAACTTTTTTTTTAAAACTTGTATTTGCAATGTTAGTTGCACTGTGGCAATAAACTGTTTGAAGTAACCAGTTCCGAAGTGGTACTATATGCAGCAAACGTGCACAGATAGTTGAAGTACCAGAATAATAATTTGCTCCAATGTTCTTTGCAGTATTTGGTTTCTGATACGGTTCTGAAGGAACGACTTGATCCAGAGACATTAGAATCTCTTGGACTTGTAAAGCAGTCACAGCAGTTCAACCAGAAATCTGTCAAAATCAAAACCAAACTATTGTGAGTTGCCATTATTTATTTATTTTTCCCTATGTGATTTGAGGAATGTAAATTGTGACTGTATTAACACACATTCCTGTCACAATTTTCAGGGGGTTTGAGTTTCATCTCATGATGTATCAATCCTGTGAGGGGTATTTCTCCAGAAGTATTCAAATAAATAAATTTGTCAGTTGAACTTTCTATTTGAAGTACTTCTTCAGTAAGAAAAGTTATTAATTTCAGCCTTAATGTACCATGAAAATTTCTTCAATAAATCTTCAGCATGTCTCGAGTAGACGTTCAATTTGCGACTGGTCAGTCCTTTTAATGGGACAACCTAAAATAAGGGGATGTTGATTGTTAACAATGTTGAATTAGCACTTTTAAATCAGCTGTTGAACTGCCCTGTTACTGCAACGTAGAGTCTCAATTTTCAGACTGCTCTGTATGCATTCGTGCAAGAATTTCAGGTGAACGGTGCATGAGGATTAAAATTTCAGCAGACACCTGAACTTCCACATTTCCCCGTGTCTTATTTTAGAAATTTTCAAGTCACGGTCAGACTTAAATTTGCGAAGAGGTACTTCAGTTATCATATCCAACTTGCATAATTATTTGAATACTTTTGTACAAGTATCCCACCCTGAACTTGAATATTCGTCATTTCAAACTTAAGCATTTAAAACAAGTTAGTGGTTGAATGAATGATCATTGCACTGAAGAGTTGATACCAGCTGTAGATCATGGTGTTGCATTTTTCAGCCAGTACATTTACGCTTTCTCACTCATAAATTAAATTGTTGAAATTTCAACTTTATATTTACATTCTAAGCATGCCTACCAACTGTCTAATGACAAGACAGTTACAAATGGACATGACTGTTCATGCTGGGTCAGCAACTGATTGGTTCAGAATTTGCTCATTAATTTACATTCAGATTACACGTATAATAGTGGGGTTCCTGGATTCAATTAGTTACCCTATGGCATGTAATCTGATCTAGGCTGATGTAGCAGTAGAAATGTTAAAGTGGGCCCTGGGCCATATTTCTGTTTCTGATCAGAATTCTGAGTATAACTTATTGATTCCCTGACCCATTCCTCTTGCTCCATTTCATATTGTTTGCTCTTCCTGCATACGTCTGCTGTCTTTCTGTTCTTGGGTCCAGTGGATAAGGTAAACGTTCAGTGACATTTTTATTGATATCCTGACACTTCTGTTGTGTAGCTCCCACCACCCTCCATCCGCAATGGGGCATTTTATTCCTCCTTTCTCCAATCTCTGTCTTCTTTTAAACATTCATTATACTCATGCTACATATGTCCTTTCTTATTACACATTTATTAGCCTCATTAAGTTAGTTACACCCCACTTTCCCTTTTTTTTCTCCTCCTACCCATTCTACTGATCTGTATCTATCCCATGAATCTCTTATCCCAAACTTTGCAGATGCTTCCCATTTCCATAATGTTATTTGTACCCTCCTTCCTCTCTTATGCTCACACTCTCACACCCAACAAATCTGATCTTAAAACTCCATTTGGTTTTGGCCACCACTGGCCTCTATCCCTATTTTCTCATTGTTGTCTCAGGCACAAATCTACAATTGTTTTTACTGCCTCTCCCTTTGAATCCTTCATGTGTGTTTGTCTTGACCCTGTATAACCTTTTGCCTTGCTGCTCCTGGATTCTGTTTCAACAGTGCAGTCATGAGATGCATAGTGGCCCTGTGGCTCCTCAATAGTAAACAATTTAACTGAAAATTTGCCAGCACAGCCAAATGACAATTCGTTGAAGTACCTAATATGCGAGAAATAGAAATTTACATAACATTCTGTTTGTAGTGCTGTAAGAAGTGTTTATTATTTTTAAAAAAAATCAGTTCACTAGTACCAGTGACTAAGAAGGATGTCACTTAAGGATTGAAGGGGCAAGAAGAAATCAACATTTGATTGTTCAGAGTTTGAAACTTACGGAGATAGTTGGCTAAAAGCAAAATAGAATAAATATAAAAATTAAGTCTAAATTTAATTTTAAGAAAAAACCAACTGAAATCAAGCTAGGAGAAACCTTTCTGGAGCATGGGTGCCAATTAACACTGTTTATACTTGTTTATTAAGGTTCTTCAATCATACATAGTTTGTTGTGATGGATGTAAACAAATGATGATTGTATAAATTTGAAACACAAGATGAGAAATGAGACCGAATAGTGTTCCAGCATCATTCATTGTTTAAGTATGAGGTCTGTCAGTCATCAGTTCCTTGGACCAAATAGTGCCCATCCAACTGTCTTACTACAGGAATTCATGTAGGGAAAGAAAAATTGGCCAAAAAACCCATACGTAATATCTTGAATTGCCCAAAATTTTGGATTATCAGAGAATCATAATGGGTTTGTTAAATTCAATATTCATAGTGCTTGAAAATGCATCTTTGACTGCTAGATAAAGGACACGATTGGTATTTGCTTAACCACTTGAGCTTCGTTATGATTGGTACTAATTGTTACAGTTTAATACTTATCTTAACATGGCACTTAAAGCAGCCTGTTGCAGTGCATCAAATTGTATAACTAGTTTATGACCATCGACTCTGTTTTTGATTTGGCTCACTGTTACAATGAAGTTGAAGCTTCAACATTTTCCTCTGTCATGTATAGAAAAGGAAAAGGTAGTTTATACATATCATTCAACAACTGGTTCTAGAGATTAATCAGTAAAAATCTTCAGACCTTCAACTTGATAGGAATTTATGTGCATTCATAAATCTGGGTAGAACTGTAAGTTATAGGAAAATGCAATATGTAATGTATGAAATTTCACAAAAATTATTCATGTTTTCATTCTTAGTTATAAGCAGCAGAAGTTTAATTTGTTACGAGAAGAAAACGAAGGTTATGGAAAGCTTTTTACTGAACTGGGCCAAGACTTATCTGGAAACCTCACAAGTGACTTAATATTAGAAAACATCAAATCACTTATCGGTAAAGTAGCACAACTGAAAGAAATAGATTCTTCAATGTTGTCACAATTAGTGGTTTATTTGAGTTAATGCAAGTGACATTTCTGCTGTATGGATTGCGCTTGTCTTTGTTCCCATGTTTTGGGTATTTGGCTAATCAATGAGGACCGTTGATTGGGACCATATACAGGCCCATGAGATCATATAAGCCCATAGAAGGCCAACTGTGAAATATATTATGTAATTGCTTGTTTTGTTGCTAAACAATGCTGCAAAATTGTTTAAAAAAATATGAATTAAAAGCCTGTTTTATCATCAGGTATAGCTCTTGTGTTATGACCGTAATGACGATAAATGATCATTCTCATGTGATGCTGTACCTTTTAAGGCCAAGATTTTTGCTCTGTTGATAAAGTATTTCGAGCGTTGCAAATAATGTATCTGTCTAACAGCAAGAAAAGACTTTGGTTTTCAACTTTGCTGCTGTTTTCAAAACCTCGCAGGTTCTGTTTAAGAGAAACTAAAATTGCTTTGATTATCAGCATGTTGAATTCGAAATAAGATTAACTTGATACCAATATATGGCAGTATTACAAAACTTCTAGTGATTGAATGTGATTTCCCTGTTTGCTTTTAAGGTTGCTTTAATCTGGATCCAAATAGAGTTTTGGATATTATCCTAGAAGTTTACGAATGTAGGCCAGAACACGATGACTTTTTTGTACCTTTGATAGAATCCTACATGTGCATGTGTGAACTGCAAACTCTTTGTCATATCTTGGGATTCAAATTTAAATTTTATCAGGTAATGTAGAAAAAAAAATTCATTTTTAATGCAATTGCATTTGTTCTGTAATCATGATATGTAGAAATTTAAGCTAGTTGTTGACTCGCGAGAGTTGGTGTTGAAGTGATTAACTTTGTACTGATAGTGGGCATTGTCTGTGAGCACTTCAACTTGAACTGGTTTGTTGTGCATGGTTCATTTTTGTATTTTATGGCCATTTAAGTTTTGAAAAACTTGACTGATGTTGACTGGAGGTACTTATTGTTTTGATGGTATATTCTCTCACCTCCCTCCTGCACTGTAGAACTGCTCAGCTGATGCCTTTTAGTTCTAGACTGTGGGAAAAGGTGTTGAGAAGACAGCCTCTCAAAACTGAGGTAAGTACCTGCATTCAACAATATAAACTTGTCTAGTTAAAAGGTTATGTTACCTGAATTTTCTGATTTGTTAAATTATTCAGCACAGTTCTCATTGTTTGAAATAGATCTTGCCCTTTACAAGTACAATATATAATATCACCAGAATTTAATAGTTTATGATGTCATTAGTTGCGCAGTTATCTGCCTTAAATTGGCTGTGATGCTGCAAGTTATTCCTATTTTCTTGTTTGTTTCTTAAATTAGTTTACTTTTTTAAAAAAAAGCTTTAAATGTATTACTTAAAATTTAAACCATGGGTTTAATAACACATGATGCTACCTGATTTATGGTACAGTTATTTTTTATTTATTCATCTTGTGCATATCAAAAAAAGTGAATCTAACCAAAAATAGTCATCTGCCATGTTCCACAAGAATATGATACTGCAGTTTACAATTCCTTCATTTTAAAATAATGTTTTTGTTGATGTTTGAACTTGGTGAATGTGGAATTTTAAGATCTCTTGAGTTTTGTTATAGACAAAATAAATAGTGGTTGTAAATACTTAGCTTTTACTGAATTTGATTGTGTTGATAGAAAGAAAATATTAGATAAAACATTGTGGTTCAGCGAAGCATGGAAATGTGTGAGCAGGCAAACGTTTTGTGCCTAATCAAGCTACTTCTTAACTTTAAGGAACCAAATGGAGAAACACCATCTTCACTTTATCGGGTAGCTGCGATACTACTACAAAACAACTTGATAGAACTTGATGATCTTTATGTGCATGTAAGTAAACTAATGTTTGAGACTGTCATGAATTTTTGCCAATTTTTTGGAATCTAATTTCGAGTAGTGTTTTATTTTGTGCCAAATATAAATAAAGTCATAGAATTCATACAGTGTGGAAACAGACCATTGAGCCTAAGAAGTCCATACCGACTTTGCGAAGAGCGTCCCGCCCATACTCATCCCCCTACCTTACCCCTGTAACTCTACATTTCCCAAGACGAATCCACCTAACCTATGGGCAATTTAGCATGGCCAATCCACCTAATCTGCACATTTTTGGACTGTGGGAGGAAACCAGAGCACCCAGAGGAAATGCATGCTGACACGGGGAGAATGTGCAAACTCCACGCAGACAGTCGCCCGAGTCTGAAATTGAACCAGTCCCTGGTGCTGTGAGGCCACAGTGCTAACCACCAAGCCACCATAATTAGGCCACTTAAGAAAAATTATAATTCAGTTGAAATGTGATACATTGGTGTTTCACCCAGAACTGTGACTCTTGTTCCAGTATTACAGCAGCAAGACTTGTGGCAACGGTTACTCAAACCAGAAGATATTTGTAGTTCTTTGATTAAAGTTAATAATCTGGACATCGCTTGCCAGAAGTTTCTAGACAGGTTCAAAATTGATCATGCTGTCAATTCAGCATTTGTCTCTAATAGAAACTCAGCAGGTCTGGCAACATCTGTGGAGAGACAAATAGAGTTAACGTTTTGAGTCTACTGACCCATTCTGATGAAGGACTATCAGGAGAAAAATGGGCAAGAATTTCTGTGAGGGAGGTGGCATCAGACATAGAATTAATAAGGAAAAGATCAAAGGGTCATCGAATTGATGCGGTGTTGAACAAACCTAAGATGGCTGTTAAATCTTTAATCACCTAAAGAAGGAGTGAGACTCCAAAAGCTTGTGTATTCAGACAAACCTGATGGACTATAACCTGGTGTCGTGATTTCTGACCTTGTCCACCCCAGTCCAACACCGGCACCTCCACATCGACACCACCAACCGCCGGCTCAAAGTGGAGAGGATCTACGAGAAGATTGTCCATTTCAACACAGACATCAAGTTTCTTCAGAAATGCATAAAAGCAGGGAAGATCCCAGAAGGACTACAGATCATGAAACCACTCAAGTCGACCTACAACACTGATTACGCTGAGAGACTTTGCCATTGCACCTCTCGCAAATTCCTCAATCATCTTGTACACCAACTTTACAGCAGGTGCTATAACCTTGAAATCGAGATGGAGTCCATATTCTCAGCTTGCACTCAAGATACAGCAGTACAGTTACGAGACACTACCAAGCAGATTTGGCAATGGAACTACACCGCCAACATGCACACCAAGAACAAGAAACTAGAGAAACTTGGCATCACCACCAGCAGTAGCCAAGCCTCCCCTGGTACCACAGTTGAAAATGGTATCACCATGGGAAAATCCATCGTAAACTTATCTGACCACACTCTTTAACTGGATGAGATCCAAGTCCTCAGCCAAGGGCTCAATTTCTGCCCCACCACCATAATGGATCCCATTGGTCTTGTGGCAGACATAGAGGAATTCATCAGACTGTGGGAATTCTTCCAAGATGTCAGCAGCAAGCCCAATGAGACAACCAATGAACCAGAACAGTCGACAGAGATCAGTGGTGGAGCAGCCAAAGAAGTTGAATTTGGACCCTTCTGGAGGGCCGTTGTCCTGGGCTTGATAGGTATGCTCAAACCATCGGGGAATGTGTAAATGCCAAACTCATCAGCCGCCTTCTAAAGATAGCACAGGACATCACCCAAGCACAATGTAAGGCCACCTATGCTCTCAAGACCAATTGCAACGTGGTCATCAAATCAGCAAAGGAGGAGCCATCGTCATACAGAACAGAACAGAATACTGCAAGGAAGTATACAGACAACTGTACAACCAGGAACACTACAGACAACTACCTGCTGATCTGACCAAAGAACAGATCTGTGAACTCAACAGACTGATCAAGACTTTTGATCCAATCCTTCGGAGTACCCTACGCACTCTAATCCCACATACTTCTCGCATAGGGAACTTCTGCCTTCCGAAGATACACAAAGCCAACACACCTGCATGTCCCATTGTATCAGGCAATGGGACCCTGTGTGAGAACCTCTCTGGCAATGTCGAGGGCAACTTGAAACCCATTACAGGGAACCGCCAGCTTCTGTCACAACGCCACGGATTTCTTAGAGGAACTTAGCGCCCACGGACCAATTGTATCAGGAACATTCCTCATCACAATGGACGTTTCGGCCTTCTATACCAGCATCCTGCAAGATGATGGCATCGCTGCAACAGCCACAGTACTCAATACGACCAATTTTCAGATACCACCCTACAAATCATCTGCTTTGTCCTTGACAACCAGTTCTTCGTCCAGACACACAGAACAGCCATGGGGACCAGATTTGCTCCTCAATATGCTAACATTTTCACTCACAAGTTCGGACACGACTTCTTTGCTGCACAGGACCTCCGACCAGCGCCATACACCAGATACATTGACGACATTTTCTTCTTTCGGGCTCATGGTGAGAATCACTGAAACAACTACGTAGTGATACCAACAAGCTTAATCCCACCATCAGATGTACCATGGACTACTCTTTAGAATCAGCCTCGTTCTTGGACACGCACTCCATCAAGGACGGACACCTCAATACCTCACTCTACCGTAAGCCCATGGAAAACCTCATGATGCTGCACTTCTCTAGCTTCCACCCTAAACGTATTTTTAAAAAAGCCATCCCCTATGGACAAGCCCTACACAAACACTTGGTCTGTTCAGGTGAAGAGGAATGCGACAGACTCCTGATGGTGCTGAAGGACACCTTCATAATAACGGGGCACGGTGCTCAGCTCATCGATCACCAGTTCTGATGGGCCACAGCGGAAAACCGTAATGACCTCCCCAGAAGACAGACATGGGATACGACTGATAGGGTACCCTTCGTCTTCCGCTACTTCCCGGGAGCGCCGTGTTTTTCGCATCCTTCAATGCATTGACAATGAGCACCTCGCCAAGATCTTCCTTATGCCTGCACTTCTCGCCTTCAAACAACTGCCAAACCGTAAACAGACTATTATTTGCAGCAAACCACCCTGCCTTGGGGCAACATCAATCACAGCACCGTACAAGTGTGTCATGGCAACCTTTGCAAGACATGTCAGATCATCGACATGGATACACCACCCACCACATGCACGGCAGATACTCGTGTGACTTGGCCAATGTTGCCTATCTCATTCGCTGTAGGCAAGGATGCCCCATGGTATGGTATATTGGCAAAACCATGCAGACACTACGACAACGGATGAATGGACACTGCACCACAATCGCTAGACAGGGTTGCCCCCTCCTAATGGGGGAACACTTCAGCAGTTAAGGACATTTGGCCTCGGATCTTCGGGTAAAGGTCCTCCAAGGCGACCGATGCAAAGCCATCGAACGGAAGCTGATAGCCAAGTTTGGTACCCATGCGGATGGCCTCAAATGCGACCTTGGGTTCATGTCGTACTGCATATCTCTCAAGCGCGCACACACCTACACCTGCCCCCCCACCATGGGGTGAATTTGTAATTGCAGGTGCATTTCAGTTAGTTCAAAAAGCACGCAATTTGTAGATAGTCAATGTGGCATTTTATAAATTCCTGCTTTGGAAATAAACTGGTCTGATTCCAAGTTGATACACAGCCAGATCCTAAGCAAGGTCTCACACATAAAATGCATTGTCTGACCCGGGATTCACCTGTTGTATACTGAGGGAATTGATAAAACTTTTAGTTACCTTGGGGCAGTGACTTGAAAGAAATTTGAGAATTTGCATGTTAATCCTTTCTAACTGATTAAAGATTTAACAGCCATCTTAGATTTGTTCAATGCCGCAACAGTTCTATGACCCTTTTGATCTTTTGCTTATAAATTCTGTCTAATGCCACCTCTATCACTGATGCCTGAAGAAGGAGTGGCACTCTGAAAGCTTGTGTTTTCAAATAAACCTGTTGGACTATAACCTGGTGTCGTGTGATTTTTTTTTTTTGACGTTGTCCACCCCAGTCCAAAACTGGCACCTCCACATCAAGAAAATCTGATAAACACCACTTACTGTCTTCCATCAATTGATTAAATTAGTGCACCTCCATGTTGAATACTATTTGCAAGTACTGAAGGTTGAAGCACTGAGAGTTGCAGGGCCACAGAATATACTTTGGGTGGGGATCTTCATTGCCCATCACCTGAAGTAACTAAATAGCTCTGCTGCTCACTGAACTGGCTGAATCCTGAAGGACCTATCTGGCAAACTGGGAAGTAACAAATAGTTTTAAAAAAAATCCCACCATTTGAATTCATCTGTACCAACTTCCATAGATGTATTTGTCCTGATATTATTGATAGGATAACCATGCGAAGTCTTGAGGAGAAGAAGTCTATGTTCACATTGAGCGTTGTGTTGCCTCATTGCGTTGCATGGCACTGTCACTTTGCAAAATAAGAACAATTCAGAACAAAGTTCACAGTGCAAATCTGGGTTTTTGCGAACTGCTGTGGGCCATAAGCAGCAGTCAACTGGGTTTTCAATCCCAAGCTTTAACCTCTCGGCCTGTCACTCATCTCACTCAACCATTCGAGGCAGGGGATCAATAATAATCCAATAAGGATTACAGGTGAAAATGCCGCAAGAAACAATGGAATACCTAAAACTGAGGAGCACTCTGATGAAGAAACATACATGATAAAAAGTAAAAGCAGCATCTGACAAGGCAAATGACCCCACAGTTAGTGGATCAGACTAAAGCTCTGTAGTACTGCATGTAATCCTCAGTGGTAATGGACAACTAACTGGAAGAGAAGGCTGCACGTGATCCCCACCCTCTATGATGGGCAGCATGGTGGCATAGTGGTTAGCACTGCTACCTCATAGTGCCAGGGACCTGGGTTTGGTACCAGCCTTGGGTGACTGTGCGGAGTTTGCATGTTCTCCTCCTGTCTGCGTGGGTTTCCACTGGATACTTTTTTTTTCCCTCCTACATTCCAAAGATACGCAGCCTAGTTGGATTAGCCATTGCAAGTCCAGGGTTACATTGATAGGTTTGGGGGTGTGGGTCTGTGTGGGATGCTCTTTGGAAGGTCAGTGCAGACTTGATGGACCGAATGGCCTCCACCTGAACTGTAGGGATTCTGTGATTCTGAAGTATTTATATCCATCTTCAGGCTCAAATGTCAGCACAGCCTCCTCCTGAAGACCCTAAAATGATAGGATATTACAGGCTGAAGGCACTTGTATTGGAAAGTTCTGGGTTCGGTTTTGAAGTCATGCACTTCAAAACTAAAGACGTCTCTGGTTAACTTGTTCCAGTATAACCACAGTATCTAATAATGTGTGAAGACTATCCAGATGCACCGTTTTACAAAAATAACCAGAATAATTCATTCCAGCCAGTAACACCCTATCAGCTTACTCTTTACCATTAGCATAAATATACAAGGTGTCACTAGGTCTGCTATCACATTGCATTTAGTCACCATTTGCCTGCTCACCCAGTTCTCAGTTCGGGTTCTGTCAGGTGAGTTTTGCGTAGGATAAAATATTTTCATAAGCATTTTGATACTTAGCCCTCATTTTTACTGTTTGCTGCTTTTTTTCAGACGTTTAGAAATGACACTTCTCCAGAAGGGAGAAATCCATTTTGGTGTTTTGTCTCCAAAAATTAGTTTTCAGCTATCTCAGACAAGTGAGATTTTATAACAAAGAATTGATGATAAGAAGAAAAAGGCATCCTTATGTTTATGTAATTCCTTCATGTCCGTAGGGAAAACATTTTACCACAAAAGTACCATTCTTTAATGACTCTTGTAACATTGGAAATGACAACCAATTTTGCATAGCAAGCTTCCACATACAGCATTGTGATCATGTGTTTTATGCTATTGAGAGATTAGTCAGAGCCAGGACACAAGGATAAACTCACCAGTTCTGAAAAACAGTACCACAAGACCTTTTTACATTCGCTTGTGAAGGCAAAGATGGCACACCTGAGAATGCAGCATTTCCTTGGTATCAAACTGGGCAATTGGCTTTGATTTGAATTTTTTAGATTTGTTGCCTGTGAACCTTTCACAAAATTGAGGTGCAGTCTTTAACATGACAATAGATGTTAAAGTTGTGTTGACAGCTATTCTAGTTTATTTGAACAATCAACCTGAAAAGCTGCTGTTAAGGGATAAACTAATAATTTGATTTGTATTTTAGTGACTTAAATTCCTCAACAAGTATTGAAGCCTTTGATTTAGTATTTAGTTCAAAGTAAAATGCACATGATATTTGCTATGATGTGGAAATTACTTGATTGAGGTGGGATATAATCCTGTACTAAAGAACTCGGAATGTAATCAATACTTATTCTTTTTCTTAGTGCACAAGATGTCATTTACCTCATGGCTTTTTCGTGTAGAATATTTTATATAGAATTGAAATTAATCGATTTATGAATTGTCTTGGTTTAACTATACATGTAAGGATTACAACTTCAACTTGTTTCTCTCTTTGTATATTCTTAGAGTTTTGTCACATTGCAAAATTCATTGTATTGTTACATTTAATCAGGTTATGAAGTTGAGAACAATTTGAGTAGCATCCTGTGATGCAGAAAGATAGTTGAAGGTTTCCTATGTATATACTGTATTATCATGTCCGTCAGGTGATGCTGATGGATCAAAGTAATAAAGTGCATAATGTTGAGTCAAAAAAAGCAGTTTGTGCAGGAAAATGAAGATTAAGCAAGTATCAGTGGCAAATACAGAATATGAGAATACAGTGACATAACAGGTCTACAACTGTTCTGCCAGCATATCTAGGAGTGGAAGTAAAATAGGTAGTAAGAACTGGAGCAGGTCCTATTAAGTACAGAGAGTATATGTGCTTTAAGGTACAAGGCAAGAATATTTAATGAGTGCTTGCTTACAAAGGAGGGAATGCATAAGACATAAGCTAATACAATGAGCAGGCAGGTAGCAGTTAAATTTAATGCAGGTAATGAGAGTTGATGATTTGACAGAAGATATCAGAGGTGGCAATGTTGTCTTTATGGCTGATATTGATATTGTAGTTTTTTTAAAAAAGTGTACAAGGGCATATGGACCTAAGGATTCCTGAAGATGCATCCTTGAATGTGGCAGGAGTTAACATATTGGATCCTGGGCTTCAGTAATGGAGGCATTGAGTACAAAAGCAGGATTATTAAGATGAACTTGTGTGAAGCTTGGTTAGGCGATGACCAGAGTACTGTACCCAGTTCTCATCGCAACTCTGCAGCAAGGATGTGAGCCCTTAAAAATGCACAGAGAAATTTACCAGATTGATTTCAGGGGGAATGAGGCATTTTAAATACAAGGTTTTTGGAAAACGTGAGGTTGTGCTGTTTAAGATAAAGGGTGTTATAAGGAGATTTGAAGATGGTGTACAAGATTATAAACAAGAGGTGTATAAGGTAGACAAAGAAAAATTGTTCCTATTAGTCATGCAAGGGAGAGTGGACACCAGAAAATTAATCTGGGGGTGGGGAGGCAATGGCCTAGTGGCACTATTGCTGGACTGTTAATGCAGAGACCCAGGTAATGTTCTGGTGGACCTGGGTTTGAATCCTGCCATGAAAATGGTGGAATTTGAATTTAATAAATACCTGGAATTGAGAGTCTAATGATGACCATGAATCCATTGTCTTTTTTAGAAAAACCCATCTGGTTCATGAATGTCCTTTAGGAAAAGAAACTGCCTTCCTTACCTGATCTGGACTACTTGTGACTCTGGACCCAGAGCAATGTGGTTGACTTTTAACTGCCCTCTAGGCAGTTAGGGATGGGCAATAAACATGAGGAAGAACTTTTTTAACATGGGTGGTACTGACCTGGAACATGCTGCCCTGCTATTAGCCGAGGCAATGCTGCTGACGTGGGTGGAAACAAAGGTGATGGATTAATTCAAATGGCAGTTCTATGCCCATTAGAGGAAAATAAACTTGCAGAGATTTGGAGATCGATTAGGGAATGGGATTGACTGCATTATTCTGTGGTGAGCCGGCTTGAATGGCTTCCATCTGTGTTGTAAAGGATTTACTCGCCCAGATGTTCTGGTTAGTGACACAAGTGCATATGCCCATTGTGAACTGACTGTGTTTCAAACTGCCCACTTATCATTTTACCATGGAAACTTTGCCCTTTGTGCTTCTTGCTCCTGTTTCAAACCAATAATAGGTTTGGGAGTCCAAGTGGTAAGTATAGTTGCAATGAGGCCATATCCCCTTTTTTTTTTCATCATGAACTGAAACATTCCTCTTTAGGTCTGCAGTGGGTCTCTCAACCTTTTCCCCCAGCCCCTGACGTCATTAACCCTCATCCTCGGATCCTGACATTGCATACCCTTCCCTCACACCTTGACATTGTTCTCCCCGTTTCTGCTTGCCCTCATCTTCCCCCCTCCCTTACCCTAAACAAAAGAGGAAACGTTTGTGGGAAAGTGGTTTGCTAGTGAGGATTGTTGGAGGACCAGTGATGAAATTGCAGTGAGCACCAAACAAGGTGCGGTTTTTGTGAGCACTATCAAGTGGCGGGGTTGCAGATTGTTGGCAGTGTTGGGGGAATTAGTAGGGTGGTGAGTCCTGCTTTGCTTAGAACTGTCCTCTTGATCAGACTTGCACATGCTTAGAATATCTCTAAGTAAATCATTATAAAAATACCAGGCTACCATAGCATAGACAGTCCAAGTCTGTGAGTTATGACCGTCACTCCCACTGTCATGCAGAAAAGCACAGCAGTCCAAATAGGATAAAATCAACAATTTTAAGTTTAAACTTTCCGCTTAGGTATCATCCACATATACGCGTCAGGGCTTTCTTGGGGCACAATGTATCAGTGACTTGTTGAGTGTTTTGTCACTCTCCAGCCAGAAGAATCAGGCTAATGGCTTGATTTATAAGATGCATTAAGATTTGTAGAAAATTGAAATAGACATCAGCTGGAAGGAGAAGACATAAACACAGGGATACAGTTGTTGAGTAAGGTATGTTTTATTGTACAGGAAAGGACTAACCTCTTGTTGAAAATCAATAGGTATGAAAAGGAAAGAAACAGTTTAGCAAGTTTCTAGGTCATTTTGGTGACCTTTATTAGGTTCTGTTGGCTGTTTGGTGCAATGTTTTTGACAGTGGATTAGTGATCACTTGTGATTGTTTTTTATTCTTGTTGCAAGCAATCCAGTTCAGCATCTCTCATTGTAATTGTCTGTCTTCCCTGCTCTTCCAGCTTCTTCCACTGGATGCCAATATTCTAGAACACCACAAACGTGAAATCTTTGAAGCAAAGCAAATTGCACGAAAGCTTACCCTGGTAGTACTCTCTGCAGATAAGCCAGATGAGAAAGAGAAGGAAAAGGAGAAAGAGGAAGAAAAGAATGAAAAAGTGAGTTGAGATTATAAATTACTACATATAGTGGTGATTACATGGATACCTTTCTTAGCTGACCAGATCTAGTGTCTCGATTTTGCCACTGAAAGTGAGCAGTCATCAACATTTTTCTGAAAGTTTTGTCTGAATTGATGGATTGATCACCTCAAAAAGGGTGTAATCCAAATTTGTAATGTTTTAAAAATGCCGTCATTTATCTTTGCAGGATGTTCACTGTTCTGTTCTTGATTTGAGCTCTTTCAATGATTATTCAGATCCAAGAAGGCACACCAAACCTATGAGTAATTTTGAATTGAAAGGTAATTTTACTGACCCAAAAACCTGTCACCAGGTGTTGCATAGGAGGGTCAAGTTCATTTTGTGTGCAACTTTCTTTTTTCAATTTAAGAATTCAGATATGATAGTGCTGATGAGGCCATTTAACCCAGCACACAGCAGGATTGAGTATGTTGCTCTCAGTCAGCCGTAAGATAGGTAGTGGTAGCTGATTGAGGAACCGTACCTTGTTTTTCAATCTTCGAATTTGTTGGTCAATGCTTGACACCTATACATGCTTCACAACATCTGCCAAACTTTAGATTTCAGTTTTGATCAGACACTGAGTGAGGTTCCTCAATTCTTTACGGTTCTAAATGGGATACCCCAAACTGTTAAGCTGCCAGCTGAGGACAGATGAACTGAGTCCCCTTCTTGATTCACCTACTCCCTTGGTTAATTGCAGCAAGGTTAACTTACAAAAGATGCCTTTCCTTGTGGATATCTTTCTCCCTGACACATATGAACTTATGTTTTAAAAGGAACTAATTTGACCAGGCGTTGTTGAATTAATGCAAAGCATAAGTTTATTCCTACTGAAAACAAAAAATGCTGGAAATCACAGTGAGTCAGGCAGCATTTGTGGAGAGAGAGCAAGCTAACGTTTTGAGTCTAGAACAAAAACAGGTTGCTGGAAAAGCTCAGCGTGTCTAGCAGCGTCTGTGAAGAAAAAAATCAGAGTTAACGTTTCTGGTCCAGTGGCCCTTCTTCAGAGCTGATAGTAGCTAGGAAAGCATGGGTTTATGTGCAGAAGATAGGAAGGGGTATAGGGTAAGGAGTAAACGATAGGATAAAGGATCGAGCCCAAAGAGAGACCAGAGCAGCTGGATAGACAAAGGAGTTGATAACAACCTGACCAGGAGAGTGAATAGCTGTTAATGGGGGACTGTTAGTCACTAACAATAGATAGTGTGTAATGGCAGGCTATGTGGTAGCAAGGCCTGGTGTTTGGGGCGGGTGGCTAGGACATGGCCAGATCATTATCAACTCCTTTGTCTATCTCTTTTCTCTCTTTGGGCTCTATCCTTTATCCTATCATTTATTCCCTACCCCATCCCCATCCCTATCTTCTGCATATGAACCGACACTTTCCTAGCTACTATCAGTTCTGAGGAAGGGCCACCAGACCTGAAATGTTAACTCTGATTTTATTCTTCACAGATGCTGCTAGACCTGCTGAGCTTTTCCAGCAACTTCTGTTTTTTTCCTGATTTACAGCCTCTGCAGTTCTTTGGGTTTTTCTTTCGAGTCCAGATGACTCTTCTTTAGAGCAATGATGAAAAGTCATCTAGACATGAAACGTTAGCTTGCTGTCTCTCCACGGGAGCTGCTTGACCTCCTGTGATTTCCAGCAATATTTATTTTCGGTACAGATTCCAGCATCTGCAGTAATTTGCTCCTCCTTTATTAATTCCTACACATGGGAAGAAATACTCATGTGACATACAGTTTAGAAATAAGAACTGAGCCCAAAGGCTTAACAGTAAGAAAAGTTATACGGATCAGTCTCTGAAGTGTTCGTGAAGAGCAGACTGTGTTATTGGGTTGCACTGGTAGTAATAATGTTGGTAGATGAACAGACCATGTTTAAGGTTCTTAGTTTTGTCAGCTGATATAAGTTATTTTTGTCCTTATTCCACCTTTTTAACTGGTTTGCAGCACTTGGACTGAGAGGAGGGTCTTTCGCTGCAACACGAATTGACTCCAAGATAGTTCTTTGACCAAAACCTTCCAGCACATACACAGTTGAATGCAGTCTAATACCCACAAAAGTATTCGGTCTCACTCGTCCACTCCAGTCGATTTGAAACTTTTTTAAACCCCTGTCTTTCTGTATTCTTAAGTGTAAAAAAACACAAAAATATGTCTGTAGTTTGGGACATAATCCGCAGAGGTGGCTTGCGATTGAGCAGGGGCTCATCAGCCCTCACTATCTTTGTAATCACAAGAGATCACAGTCCAGTCTATTTCACATTTATTGGACATTTTTTAGGTGTTGCGTTACATCATTCTTATACAGAATGTTTTTAATATTTAAAAAACAATCTATTTGGATATCTTATGATAACTCCAGGGCAGGCTGTAGAGCTTGTGGACCACAGAAGATGCAGTTATTGTTTTTGTACCAGTTCTCTCTCAAAAAAACACACTTTAGAATGAAAGGCTAAAAATGTCTGTGTACTTCAGGGTTCTGACTTGTCATAACATAAAATATTGCTTCCTATAGGTCATATTCCTGACATACTTGGATTTGTGCTTCATCCTTGTGTATAGAAGCCATACGTGCTGCCTTAAAGTTATTTTGTTTAAAGTATCCTGAGTAAGATTTTCAGAGTAGAGTTGAAGCAGTAGCAGAAGCTGAAGCAGTAAACTTTGCTCAGTTTGAGAACCTAAATAATTTGATCCATGGTTGATTTTTCCTCATTCGTGAACAAAGCTGGAGGTTAACTGTAAGTGTGTTTTTATTGCTTTTGATGCCTTTTCTCTCCATATTAAATTGAAACATTTCATCCCTTTGCAGCCCCCTGACAATCAGAAACTTGGGTTGTTGGAAGCTCTTCTAAAGATTGGTGATTGGTATCATGCACAGTGTATCATGGATCAAATACCACCTTTTTATGCCACCTCTCACAAATCTATAGCACTTGCTCTCTGCCAGTTGATTCATGTCATCACAGAACCCTTATATAGAAGGTAAGGCACTTTGTAGGGCTCATTAAGTGTCATTTGTTTTGGAATTGATTTTACTCTCTGTGCTGTTTTAATGAGTTTTATTTTTTAAAGGAAGAGAAAAGGGTGTTCTTTTTTCCAGAAAAAAGTCCTGTAATTGTTTGCAGTACTGAAGGCATGTGTAACATTTTGGTAAAGTTTATCAAGTGCTGTCTGCCTTCTAACAACTTTTCGAGGTGTTCTTTTTTAATGTGCCAGACAAAATAGTATTGACGGATTGTTTGATCATGGATAGCGGAGTATGACAGATTTGCGCACGTAAATGCATCTTAAACACCTTATTGAGTTTATAATGGAAATAAGAGTCAAATAGATAACTTCACAATAAGTACTAAGTTGCATTTGATAGTTTACTTTATTTCATGATCTGCAAAGTTATTTGAAGTCTGTAATTAATCTTCACTCTCAGGGCATTGTCACTAAAATCACCTGATCATATGCAATTCCTGAGTAGTAAGAACACAAGAACTAGGAGCAGGAGTAGGCCGTCTGGCCCTTCGAGCCTACTCCGCCATTCAATAAGATCATGGCTGATCCTTTCGTGGACTCAGATCCACTTACCCGCGTTCTCACCGTATCCCTTAATTCCTTTATTGTTCAAAAACAAATCTACCGTTTTTAAAAGCGTTTACTGAAGTCGCGTCAACTACTTCACTGGGCAAGGAATTCCATAGATTAACAACCCTCTGGGTGAAGAAATTCCTTCTCAGTTCAGTCCTAAATCTGCTCCCTCTGATCTTGAGGCTATGCCCTCTTGTCCTAGCTTCACCTGCCAGTGGAAACATCCTCTCTACTTCTATCTTATCTATTCCCTTCATAATTTTATGTTTCTATAAGATCCCCCCTCAATCCAATGAATATAATCCCAATCTACTCAGTGTCTCCTCATAAGCCAACCCCCTCAACTCCGGAATCAACCTAGTGAACCTCCTTTGCACCCCCTCCAGTGCCAGTACATCCTTTCTCAAGTAAGGAGACCAAAACTGCACACAGTACTCCAGGTGTGGCCTCACCAGCACCTTGTACAGCTGCAACATAACCTCTCTGCTTTTTATTTCAATCCCTTTAGCAATGAAGGACAAAATTCCATTTGCCTTCCTAATTACTTGTTGTACCTGCAGACCTACCTTCCGTGATTCATGCACAAGGACACCCAGGTCCCTCTGCATAGCAGCATGCTGCAACTTTTTACCATTCAAGTAATAATCCTTTTTACTATGACTCCTACCAAAATGTATGACTACACATTTATTTACATTGTATTCCATCTGCCAGACCTTTGCCCACTCACTCAATGTATCTATGTTCCTCTGCAAAGTAACTTCAGCTGTTGCTGCTCGATTGATTTTTGGATAAAACAATATGAGAAAGTTCATTCTTTTGATTGACGTAAGTAATTCTGCAACATGTCGGCTTGTTGCAACAAATGCAGCTTTTGTCTCTGACCATTTTACATACAGTTTCTGTCATATCCATTTGTCATAGAGAAAACCACCATTTTAAACCCTTTTTTTTCATTATTTACTGGAGAGGATCCAAAGGAATTATATAAAAATGATCCCAGGAATGATGGACTTGTTGTTTGTGGAGCAGTTAAAGAATCTAGTTAGTACTTCATGGAGTTGAGAAGGATGAGGGACAATCTCATTGAAACTTACAGAATGCTGAGAGATCTGGATTGAGTGGACGTACAGCAGCTGTTTCTATGAGTAGAAGAGAATCTGACCTGATGGCACAGCGTCAGAGGGAAGGGATGACCCTTTAGAACTGAGATGAGGAGGAAATTCTTCAGCTAGAGGGTGGTGAATAAATGGAACTCACTGCTGCAGAAGACTGTGGAGGCCAAGTTATTGAGTGTATTTAAGACAGATAGGTTCTTGATTAGTAATGCAATCAAGTGTTATGGGGAGAAGGCAGAAGAATGGGGCTGAGGAACATGTCAGCTTTAATTGAATTGCGACACAGATTCGATGGGACAAATGGCCTAATTTTGCTTCTGTATCTTATGGATTAATTTCCTTCGGCCTTTTAATTATAGCTGTAGTCGGCAACTTCAGTGGTTGCAAAAGCTTTTGATGTTCCTTTTTATTTAAAGCAGCAATGAGTTGCTTGATAAATTATTGATTAATTGTTGCTCAATCCTGGCAAAGCATTATTTTTTTTTTCTGTTCTCCAGTGACACCTTCAAATTCAGCTGGTCCATTAGACCCAACTGTTGCTTCCCTGATTCAATTGCTACTAAACTGGACTAAAGTTCTGTTTCTGGTCTCAAGATTGCTTTAATAGTAAATGCTAAATCTCCATGAGTATTGTCTTCTCACTTGGCAAACAACTATAGATGCTCCCTACTTTAAAAATCCATCGTATTCGCCTTTGATTTTGCACTCAACAGCTTTGCCTCCTCAAAAGTTTCAATATGTTGTGGCCTCCTAAATATATGATCTTCCATCCTTCAATTACATTTTTGAATTTCTTCAATGCACCCTGCCAAATCCTGAAGCAATCCCTATTCAGCTCCCAAAGAACTGCTGACTGTGATTTGTCATGCTTGATTAGCTTTTATCGTCCCAAACTTCTCTGCCGTCTTTCTCTTGACCGAGCATACCACCCTCTTTCAATGTTTCTCTGTTGTTCAACAGAGTTGCCTCACTGGGTTCTACTGTTTATTTTGTTTATAATCAGGCAGTAAAACCTTCTTGAAATATGTAAAACAGAAAACAGAACCCAAGTGAACACTGTCCTATTGGAAAATGAGGCTGGGGCCATATAATGGGGAATCAGGAATTGCAGAGGAGTCGAATAAATACATTGCATCAGCCTTCATTCCAAAATTGATGAATATTAAAGGGACAAAAGGAGGAAAGAAAATAAAAACGATAACTCTTTGTATCAAAAAGTGCTAATGAAACTAATGGGGCTAAAGATTGATAAGTCCCCTGGAAGTGATGGAACGCATCCTAGGATATTAAACAAGATAGCTGCAGAGCTACTGGATGCACTAGTAGTAATCTCCCAAAAATTCTCAGATTCTGGAAAAGCCAGAGAGGATTGGAAAACTGCCAATGTAACACCTTTTTTAAAAAGGGAAGAAGAAAACACAGGTGACTATGCCTGTTCGCTTGACATCTGTTCGTGGAAAATCATAGAGTCTATTATGAAGGATATAATAGCAGAGCTTTTATAAAAACATAATATGATCGAGTTGAGATACCGTGACTTCATACAGCAGGTCATGCCTGATAAATTCATCAGAATTCTTTAACAGGTAATAAGTAGAATAGATAAACGGAAAGCAGAAGACTCCATGTATTTAAAGTTTCGGAAAGCATTTGAAAGGTACCGCACATTAAGCTACTTAATAGGGTAAGTGCCCATTTATTGCTGATGTCCTCTCGGTAGTTCCATACTCATCTAGACACTGCTTCTTGGTGAGAGACCGCAGTTCAAAATCAACATGTACAACCAGATAGCCATCACAGAGACATGATATGATTGCATAGTGAACAAAACTGTAATTTGAATATTGAAGGGTATTTGACATGTTGGAAAAAATAGGAAGCTGAAAGAAAGTGGTTATTCTGTCCTGTTAATTTAAGGGTGTTGTTCGTACAGTATTGATAGATGCTTTTTTGAGCTAATATCACAATGTTAGAATCTGTTTCGGTCAAGATAACAGTAAATGTAGGGGTCAGTTGTATGAGTAATTTATATACGTCTCCAAACAGTAATTGCAGTCCAGGACAGTGTACTGTAAGAATAGGGTATGTAAGCAATGTACCACAATCAATACGGATGACTTTACCAATCTGCTAATTAATATGTATATTTAAAGGTAGCTTGGAAAATGTGTTTGTATACAGTATTTGGGACAGTTTCCTAGAGCAGTATGATTGAGCACCAACCAGGGAGCATGATATTCAAGAATGAGACGTGATCTTAGTGAAACATGTATGATCTTGAGGAGACTTGACAAGGCGAGGGTATTTCTTCTTGTGACAGAAACCAAAACTTGTGGATATAATTGAGAGAATTAGAAGTCTCCTTTTTAAGACAGAACTGAGTTTTTTTTCCCCCCTGTGAGGATCCTTGGCATGTCGAATCCTGGGACTTTTATTTTATTCAATGCACAATTGGCCAGATTTTTGATTGATGAAGGAGTTGTGGGTTATGGGGCAGACAGGAAAGTGGAGTGTAAACCACAATCAGATCAGCCATGATCATATTCAGTAGCTGCGCAGGTTCAGAGCTAAATAGACTACCACTGTTCCGAAGTTCTATGTCTAGCATTCATATGCAATCATTATGCAGAAATGGGCCAACTTCTATGTGAATGCTCATGACATGCAGCTTCTTGAATGTGAACCATGATCCTCTTATTTTATTCCCTCACAGCCTTGCCTCTCCCTGTATCTGGAACCTTATTTATTCTCCACAGCCCAACGAGAGCCCTGAAATTCTTTTGACTCTGATCGCTGTCCATGTTTCATTGTTATCAACTACATGCGTAGCTGTCTGGCCCACCCTTTGGTATTCCCTTGGTCAGTCCCACTGTCTGAAATTGACCTCCGCTGTTAAGACCATCTTTAAATTCTCTGTGATTCTGAAAGATAGGATTTACATGCATTTGGAGAATCAAGGATTGATTAGGGATAGTCAGCATGGTGTATGAGGTAAATCGTGTCTCTCAAACTTGATTGAGTTTTTTGAGGAAGGAACCAAAATGTTTGAGGGCAGAGTGGCAGACATTGTTTACATGGACTCATTTGACAAGGTTCCGCATGGTAAGCTAATTCGTAAATTAGATTACATGGGATTCAGGGCGAGCTTGACAGTAGGAGACTGAAGGGAGTGATGGTGGATGGTTGTTTTTCAGACTGGAGCCCTGTTAACAGCGATGTTCCACAGAGATCGGTGCTGGGTCTGCTGCTTTTTGTCATTTATATTAATGATTTGGATGAGAATATTGGAGACATGGTTGGTACACTTGCAGATGACAGCAAAATTGGTGGTATAGTGGATAGTGAAGGTTATTTAAGATTGCAAAGAGATTTTGATCAGTTGGGTCAATGGGCTGAAGAGTGGCAGAATTTGGATGAATGCGAGGTACTACATTTTGGTAAAACGGAAAAGGGCCGGACTTATACAATCAAGGTTGGGGCGCTGGGGCAGTGTTGTGGAATGGAAAGACCTATGGGTTCGGGTACATAATGATTAAGGTGTTTAGAATGCTTCCTGCCGTTGCTCAGACCTATCGTTATAGGAGTTGGGATGTGATGTTGAAGTTGTATAGGATGTTGGTGAGACCTCTTCTGGAGTGTGCAGAATTGTGTGCAGTTCTGGTTGCCCTGCTATGGGAAGGATATTATTAAATTGGAGAAGGTTCATGAAGGATTTACTAGGATGTTGCCAGGATTGGAAGGTTTGAGTTGTATGGAGAGGCTAGATAGGCCAGGACCTTTTTTTTCACTGGATTATAGGAGGTTGAGCGGTGATCTTGTAGAGGTTTTTAAAATCATGAGGAACCTAAATAAGGTGAACGGCAAAGGTCTTTTCCGTAGGGTGGGGGAGTTCAAAACTAGGGGGCATATTTTTAAGGCGAGGGGAGAAAAATTCAAAAAGAGGCAACTTTTTTTAGACAGAGGGTGATTCGCGTGTGGAATGAACAGCCAGAGCAAGTGGTGGATGCAGGCAGAGTTACAACATTCAAAAGACATTTGGATAAGTACATGAATAGGAAAGGTTAGGAAGGATATGGGCCAAGCACAGGCTAGTTTGGGGATGTGGTCAGCATGGACTAATTGGACCAAAGGGCCTCTTTCCATGCTGTATGACACATTTTCCCAACTTTCCATTTTTTTCTGGTGGTTTTTTTTGACATGCCATCTATATTTATTCAGTTATGCTTTTCTGAAGTGTTTTGGTGATTTTCTGCACAAAGTTGATCAGCCTGTTGTATCCAAAGGAACAAAGTGATACATTGCTATAAATAACAACATAACTTACTAAAGATCGGAAATGTGTTAACAAATATGTAACTGCAAATTGCTGATACAGTTGATGCAACCAAAACTGATAGAAAACATTGATAAATGTATTAGCCTGTTCATGTTAAGTTGCTGTATGATGGTGCTGCCAATGGTATTTGTTTCATGATGTTTCAAGGAAATCTCGAGTCTTAAGTCCTGCCTGATTTTCAGTCCCCAGGCAAACGTCTCTTGAGCTGGCAGGAAAATACACTTGCCATTAGATCTCCAACCTTGGTCACTCTCACGATGTTTTATTTCTCTTTCTGTCTTTGATATTGACCAAGATCGTAGATTTCTGACTGACTTTGTTATTGTGCATTATGTGCTACAGTATTCATAGCATTATGGTGTATTTTCTGACTTGGTGTTTTAAAAAAACATTCATACAAAAAATTACATATTTACTTTAACAGCAGTCTGTAAATGCAGGTGAACTTTAAGCTTTTAAAATAGCTTTGAAAACCAATAAGTTTTAATAACTCTTTAAAGCTGACTGCAAATAGTTTATTGGACTTTCATAAGTCTGTCACCCACAGGTACAATATCTTGTATCTATGTAAATAACAACCTTAAATTTGTTAGGAAATAACAGATAGCCGAAAGCTGTCTCCAAATTCTATTTAAACCTGGATGGAAGTTCCCCTAAAATGACAACCAAGATTTAGCAGAGGAAAGTATACTTCCTCATTAAATCTCATCTGTCATGTATTTCTTGGCACACTTTGCTAATTTAGAGCTCTTTGTTTCCTGAAGAACATTTTAAAAAATTTATAACCACTGACTCAGTACCATTTTCATGTCAGTGTTGGAGTGGCACCAAATATTTATTTTTTCCCTTCAAATTCCTCTGAAATCCTATAAGTTCAGAGGATTCAAACAAATCTTCCAAAACTAAAATAGGCAGTGTTGCTTTGCTTTAAAAGCTTAAAGGAACATTTGGCATTGGACAGTGTTCCATAAACTAATACTCTACCATCAAATATTTTGTTGAAACGCAAGATATTTTTAGTGCCTAATGCAATTTTTGAAGGAGAATTGAATAAATTCATATTTACTTATCAGAAGTCTTAAAATTTCATGAGTTTAAAAAAAATTAGTTTTCTAGGCAACATGTGAAATACTGGACACAAACTAAAATACATCTAATCCAAGGAATTAGCTGTGGAATTTTTTGCACCTTGTAACTATAGGATAGGAACTAGTTTATATTGATGGATTTCTCGTCCTGCATTAGTCACTAATCTAATTATTGTGTTTGCTTCCCGTTATTTTTGTGTTCAAAACAATTATCTAATTTCCTAAGAATAATTCTGGGTGAGGCAGAATCCATATTTTGTGTAGAAAAATGTAGATGTTCCAGGTCAGACTGTTAACCGAACATTTGGGGAAAAGGAAGGTTGACATCAGCTCTATCCTGATGTTTACACAAAATCATAGTGTTCATACCTTTTTGTACATTTTATAAATGTCAACATTTTATCTGTTCTTTTTAATCAGTTTGGCTTGTATTTGTACAAAAGCTTGATATTTTGTTTGCAGAGTTGGTGTACCAAAGGGTGCCAAGGGAGCTGTAATTCCATCACTTAAAAATGAAAGGGCTCCAAAACCAGTAGAAACTTTTGAAGACTTAAGAAAAGAAGTTTTCAGCATGCTGTGCTACCTTGGACCTCACCTGTGGCATGATCCTATCTTGTTTGCAAAAGTGGTTCGAATAGGCAAAGCATTCATGAAAGAGGTTGGTGTGAACTATATGCAAATTCTCATTGACTTCTACATCATTATTCTAATATCCTTTGCATTTGTTGCGATTTCTCTCCGCTTTAATGTTCTGTAAGTTTAAAGGAGTGACATTTTCTGACCAGAAGCTTTTAATTTTTCATCAGGAGTTTTGAGTCTTTCATGATGTTTGGTAAAAGAATTAATGGCAACCTGTTAGGGTGAGCATTCAAGGATTTAGATTCTGTAACAAAAAAGGCACGGCTATACAGTATCAAGTCAAGATGGATTACTGTGGGGGTGGTGGGATAAGAACTTGTAGGTGATGGTCATAATGTCATAGAGGCCTACTGCACAGAAAATGATCTGCCCATCAATTTAAAAACAACCATCTATACATCGTAATGTCACTTTTTAGCTTGGCCCATAGATTTGTACACCTTGGCATAGCACCTGCCCATCTGAATAGCTCTTAGATATGAAGAGGGTTTCCACATTCACCACCCTTTTGAGCAGTGAGTTTCAGATTCTCACCACCTTCTGGTGAAAAAGATTTTCCTCATATCCTCTCTAAACCTTTTGCCGTTGAATTTAAGTCTATATTCTCTGGTCACTTTTTTCCCTTGGTGTAGGGATCAGTTTTTTGCTTCCTTCCTTATCATTACCCTCAATTTTATACATCTCAATTATGTCCCCTCTCCATCTTCTCTACTTCAAGGAAAATGCTCCAGGTTTCTCCAGTCTGTCTTCATAATTAAAACTCTACGGTCCAGGTAACGTCTGGTAAATCTCCTCTGCAACGTTTTCAGTGTAATCACATCCCTTCTATAATATAAATTCTGGAACTGCATATGGCACTCTGGTTGTGGCATAACCAACATTTTTTACAGTTCCAGCATAACCTCCCTATTCTTAAACTCTGTGTCTCAGCTAATAAATGCAAGTATGCCTTCTTAACCACTTTATCTACCTGTCCTGTTTCTTCAATGAACCAGTGAAGATGCATACCAGGGTCCCCCGATCCTTGGTGCTCCCCTGGGTTCTACCATTCGTCATGTTTTCCCTTGCCTTATTTGCCCTGTTCAAGTGTGCTTTCGAATACTTAACTGGATTAAATTCATTTTGCCACTGATCAGCCAATCTGGCCAGCCCGTCTTATCTTTCGATAATCTAAGGCTATCTTCTTTACTGTTTACCACCTCACCAATTTTCGTTTCATGCTTCATAATGTTTCCAAGTATCTGATGCCCTTGTCCCACCAAGTGGTTGAACTTGTGGGCTTGGTTACTGCTGTCTCAGGAACCATAGTGAGCTATTATATTGTGTCTTGTAGATGGTATACACTGCTATTACTGTGTGTTGGTAGTGGAGGGAGTGAGTATTGAAGGTGCTGGATGCGGTGCCAGTCAAGCATCTGGATTTTGTTTAGCTCTTTGAATTTCATGTTACATAGTGAGTGATTGGCTTCCGGAATGCATTGCCTAGGTTTGTGGTTGCAGCTGATGTTGCCATTTGTTTTCTGGAGGAAATTAGTTAATTTCCTGAGGATAGAAGGTTTACAGGGTAGGGGAGAATGGCAAGCGACATGGCTCTTGCAGGAGCTAGCACATGCAACAGACAGAATTACCCCTCTGTGTTCTTTGAAATAGAAAGATTGAATGGGTGTATTAATGACTGAGATGATGACAAGAATATGTACAGATGTTAATCTTGTAAACTGAATAAAAATAAATGTGTCATTCAAGAACTCCTAATGTAACTTTTGTATAAAGCTTTTGGAGTATGGGCAGTTTATGTAGAATACTTAGAAATTAAATTGAGGGTTGAGACAAAAGTGTTTGGAATGCAAACTAGCAATGAAAGATCATAGAAACTGGTGCAATGCACCAGTAATGACATAGCAATTACTTTGAGTGTGAAATATCAAGTCTAGTTTATGGAAAGGCACTGACCATTATGACTACCTTAGGTTTACTAGAACTAATTTCTTCCTTAGTGATTTTATAACAAGTCAACTTATAAGCTATGACACACACACTGAAAGGTTCTATTTCCGTGTGACTACTCAAATATTAGTTCCTTATGATTACTTAATAGGGCAAGGCTGAATTAATATTAAACATTAAACAAGAGTAAACTGGTAGAATTGACAATAAATATGAGAGTAATTGCTGCAATTACTCTGGGCATGCCATTATCGTTGAGTTAATTCAACAGTATCTTGTTAAGGTTTGAAGTAGGGCAAAACAGATGGTGTATTATGCAGTCCTTCAAAACCACAAAGTTTTGTACAAGAACCACTTGGAATGAACTTAAGGAATCAGGCATTTTATTGTAGGATGATACACAATGAACGAAGGAGGGGCATTCGGAGTTTCAGTCAGCAGTGCATGAAGAAAGACGAACAACAGCAGAGGATTTTCACTTTTGAGTAACTTTTTGGGAATTTTTTTTTTGCTATTGTACTTATTGTTTGCTATTTGTAGTATAGTTTCATTACGTTGTAGTGGATATCACAATGCTGTGTATGTTGTTCCAAGTCCTCTTTGTTTGGCCTTAAATCAACCAACTCCTCAGGCACTGATCACCTGTGATGCTATTTCACACATTGAATCTGAAGCTGACTTTAGCTTCTTGCTGTCATTAGTGCAGGTTGGGCATTTTCACTGAAAATGAACCCTGCTCTTAAATGTTCACATACAGAAATTTTTGATTTGTGTCATATCTAATCAATGAATTTGTATTCCTGTATCATGTATATGTAGAGCAAGTTGCTGGTTTTCTAATAGTCTTAGTGCAGGAATGGAAGTCAGTTGTAGCTAAACACATGCTATTGATACTTCTGTTGTGAATGCATTGGTGATTATTTTGTTTTATAATCGCAAAGTCAGAAGTCACATGACACCAAGTTATAGTCCAACAGTCTTATTTGAAATCTCCAGCTTTTGGACCATTGTTCCTTTGTCCTGTTCAGAGATGTTATTACACACCCTTTGAGCAAGTGAGACTTGAACCTGGGACTCATGGTTCAGAAACAGGGATACTACTTTTGAGCCACAGAGAATGCTTTGAATACATGAAGGTCCTCAGGCGAGTGCAACGGAGCTAGGTCTGTGGTACCACAGGTGATAAAGCAGTACAGGAGGAGAGGAACAGTGATAGGAGATTCCGTATGTTTTTGCTGCAGTGAATGTAACTCCAGTGTTGTGTTATCTCCGTGATGCCACAGTCAAGGATATCACTGACCAACTACAAGGCAATCTTTAGCAACAGTGTAAGAAACCAGAGGTTGTCGTCCACATTGTACCAACAACATAGTTAGGAGTAGGAATGAGGTCTTGAAAGCAGACTTTTGGGAGTTATGAAGGAAATTAAAAAGCAGAATCTTGAGAGCAATAATCTCGGGATTATTTCCAGTGTCACATTAAAGTGAATGTAAAAATAGGTGCTTTGGTAGATTGAACATGAGGCTCGTGTGTTACATTTGAATTTATGAAGCAGGAACAGAAGTAGACCACTGTGCTCCTTGAGCCTATGCTGTCATTCAAATAGATTCTGGCTGATCTGTTTCTGTCAGAATTCGACAATCCCGTCTGCCCCTGACAAACTTAGTTTCTTGTTAGGCAGAGGAGTCATGGAGTCATACAGAACAGAAAAAGACTTTTTGGTTCAGCTTGTCTACGCCAACCAAGTTTCCCAAATTTAAACTAGTCCCATTCGCCTGCGTTTGGCCCATATCCTTCTAAATGTTTTGTATTCATGCACCTGCCCAAACGTCTTTTAAATTTTGTAACTGTACCTGCCTCTACCATCCCTCTGGCAGTTCATTCCACATAGGAATCACCCTCTGTGTGAAAACGTTACCCCTCAGGTCTCTTTAAAGCCTTTCTCGTCTCATCTTAAAAATATGCCCTCTAGTTTTGAACTCCCCTACCCTAGGGAAAAGATCTTTGCTATTCACTTTATCTATGCCTCTCATGATTTTATAAACCTCATACGGTCACCCTTCAACCTCCTACACTCCAATGAAAGAAGTCCCAGCCAATTTTTATAACTCAAACCCTCCAGTCCTAGTAACGTCCTTGTAAATCTTTTCTGCGCCCTCTCCAATTTAAAAATATCCTTTCTGTAGATGGACGACCAGAACTGTACACAGTACTGAAAAAGTGGCCTCACCAACACCAGTCATTACATGATGTCCCAATTCCTATATGTAATAGTCTGAGCAATGAAGGCAAGCATGCCAGTTACTCTTCTCATCACCCTAACAACGTATGATGCAACTTTAAAAGAATTATGTACCTGAATGCCTAGGTATCTATGTTCAACAACAATACCCAGGGCCCTACTGTATAAGTCCTGCTGTTGTTCGTCTTACCAAAATGCAACACCTTGCATTTATCCAAATTGAACTCCATCTGCCACTCCTCAGCCCATTAGCCTAACTGATCAAGATCCCTTTGTAATTTTAGATAACCTTCTCCCCTGTCCATTTTACCACAAATGTTCTGTCTTGAAGCTATTCAATGCTTCTACCACCACCTAAGACAGAGAACTCCAAAGCTGCACAGCCTTCCGAAGGAAACAAAATCACTCATCCCTGTCCTATAAAGGGAAACTACTGATTTTAAAGCTATGTTCCTCGTACTAGACTCATGAAGGGACATAGTTTCCGTCTGCACCTTGTCAAGACCATTCTTGATCATATACACTTGAATTAAGTCACTGACCTTACTCTTCACAACTAGCCAACATACTTAATCTGTCCTCCTCAGACAGCTGACTCATTCCAGGTATCAATCCAATAAATCTCTTCTGAATGACCTTGTAACGTTCTTCCAGTAAGGAGAGTGAAACTGCAGACTTTTTTAAAGATCTCACTCATGGATGATTGAAGCATAATTGTTGGTTTTAATTTCAATTCCTCATGTAATAAAGGCTAGCAACCCATTAGCCTGGATAAGTGCATCTTCAACAGCCCTTGAGAAACTTGACATTATCCAGAATAAAGCAGTCTAATTGATTGGCACCACATCCTCAAACAGTCACTCACTCCACCATTGATGCACAGGTACCCTGCATAAATTCACCAAAGGTCTTTAGACAGCACTTTTGAAAACGAACAACCTGTATCATCTGGAAGGACAATGTCAAGCAAAAACACGAGAGTATCACCACCTTCAAGTTTCACTCCAAGCTGCACACAACTGTGATTGGGAACTCTATCATCATGCCTTCAGTGTCACTGAGTCAAAATCTCAGAACTTCCTTCCCAATAGCATCATCTGTGTGTCTACATCAAACGGACTGCAATGGATCAAGAAGGCAGCTCACCATCACCATCTCAAGGGCCGTAGGAAACGGAGAATAAACACTGGCTGAATGAATAATAAAAACAATCAAAACCCTGTGCCCCATGGATTTCCGCATTCATTCTGTTTAAGTCGTACTCTGCTTTTCAATCCATCCAAAGTGAACAGTTCAACATTTTCCGACATTATACTCCTCTGACAGCTTTTTAACCCATTCACCTGTTTCTGGTTGCAAACTCTTCATCGTCTTCGCTAGATTCTTTCCTATCTCAGTTTGTGCCTCCGCTCCTCATATCTAACTCATTGATATGTTGTAAAATGTTGAAGTACCAGCCGTCAGAAGACATCAGAAGCATTTGGACGATTCAGGGATCTGGACAAGCTAAACCATTTACATCTTAACAGGACCAGGACTGATATCTTCACTGGGAAATTTTGGTGGTGCTGAAAGATTTAAACTAGCTTGTTGCTGGGATGGAAACCTCAGGAATAGCTCAAATTGGATGCAAGTAGGAATGAGTGAATGAAGAAGATAAGCAAAACCAAGGCCAGCATTAGCTGAGCTGAGAATGAAGAATAATGTTCAAAAGACAAAGTTAGGAGCGCTTGGCCTGAATTCATGCAGTATTTTTAAGGAGGTGAATGATTTCAAGGCATATATTGAGCAAATAAGGGTTATTTAACTGCCATTTGCAGAAACATGGCTGTGGATGACCAAGACTGGGAAATGAATATTCAGGAATATCAGCATTTAGTAACAACAGGCAAAAAGGACAAGGAGATGGTGTTGTAATGATAATAACAGATAGGATCAGTGGATTAGTAAGGAAGGATCTCAGAACGGAAAAACAAATCTGTTTGGGTGTAGAGGAGAAACAGCAAAAACCAGCAAATACCAGTCGGAGTTGTTTATAGGCCACCAGTATTGTGAGTCATGGTATTAATCAGATTAGGGAATCATGTAGAATGGATGATATGGTAGTCTTGGGTAACTTCAACATGTATGTAAACTGGATAAACATAATGAGCTTAATGCTGTGAATGATGAGTTTCTGAAGTGTTAGAAATGGATTTTATGCAGCAGTATTTGCACTTATCAACTATAGAACAGGCTACTATATATCTAGTCTTGTGTAATGAAGAAAAAGCCTCAACTTTGAGGGATGAGTGACCATTATATGATAGAATTTTCCGTTATGCTTCAAATTGAGGTAGGCAGGTCAGAAGCCAGGCTATGAAATTTGAGCAAAGGAAGTTTTGAAAGTATGATGTGCAAATTGGTTGAATTGGGAAAATAACAGGCATGACGGAACGTCAGCAGTAGATGGTTTTTGAATAATTATTTCACAGTTTAGAGCAACTGTACGTTCCTTCAAAGTGCAAAAACATCCTAACCATTGCTAAAAAAGAAATTAAGTATTTTACAAAATTAAAAGAAAAGTGATATGATGTTGCCAGAATAAATCATAAATTTGAGCATTGGGAGGAGTTTTGAACACAGCAAATGGAAACCAAGAAGCTGATGCAGAAAGAATATGATGTTAACTAACCAAAGACACAAAAACAGACTGCAAAAGCTCTCTTGGTATTAAAAAGAAAATGTTTGCTGAGAAAAATGTAGGTTCATTACAAGCAGAGTTAGAGTTTATACTAGGAATAGAGAAATGGCAAGAATGCTATATGTTTGTTGTGTGCCTAGCTTCAGTGAAGCAGGTGTTAGAAGTCTCTCCAGAATTAGAGATCGAAGGGACGAGGGAGAATGAGAAATAGAAGGAAATTAGTATTTGGCCGAAGGTTGTGGTGGAGAAAGTGAAAAGACTGAAGATTACTTTGTTCCATTGATCGGATACTGTATATTGCAAACTGTTTTTAAAAAAAAAAGTGATGTATTGGTGAGCATCCTCCAAAATTCCATAGGTTCTATAATCATTGCTGCAGATTGAAAGGTAGTAAATGTCCCCCCACAATTTAAGATGGGAGGGATACAGAAAATAGGGAATTACAGACCCATGTACTTCAGTGGTGAACAAAATGCCGGAATAATCGTAACGTACTTGGATTTTCAGAAGGGTTTCTTTTTAAAAAAAAAAAAAGTCTTTCAGAAGTTGGTTTGTAAATTTGAAACAAGTGGGTTAGAAGGTAATATACCGGAATCGATTAAGAATCGGTTGGAGATGGATAATAGAAAATAGAAATAAAATTCCTGCGTTGCATGCTGTGAATAGCAGGTACCATAAAGATGTGTATTTAGGCCCTAGTTATTCACAATCAATGTCAATCTTTTGAGTGTGGGAACCAAATGTAATATTTCCAAGTTTGTGAATGGCGCAGATGTAAGGGAAAATGTGCTGTGAGGAAGATGCAAAGTGGCTTCAAGAAGGTTTGGACAAATTTGAATGAGCAAGAACATATCAGATGGAGTGTAATGTGGAATATGTGAGGTTATCCACCTTATTAGGAAGAGCAGATGCACAGAACATTTATTTAGCGGTAAGAGCTCAAAAAGTATAAATGTATAAAGAGACTTTGTCATTAAGTCGCTAAAGGATAAAATGCAGGTGCAAAAGGCATGATGCTATGTTAGCTTTTATCGCAGGAAGAATGAAGTCTAGCTTTAATTGTATAGAACCTTATATAGACTTGTACAGAATTGTATAGACTATTCCTGATGCACTTTGGACAGTTTTGGTCCCCTTATCTTATTGTGATGGAGGGAGTGCAACCAAGGTTCACTCGAGTTTTTCACGGGATAACAGGAATGTCCTATGAAGAGAGATTGGGAAGACTGGATGTGCATTCTATCCAATATGTGTAGCATTTTGAAGTATAAGAGATGTTGAAACTTAGAAAATACTTAAAAGGGACACAAAAGGTAGATTCAGGTGAGATGCTGATCCTAATGGAGGAGCCTAGATTAAGGGGACACAAATTTAAAAGGGAGATGAAATTTTGTTTTAAACTGAGAGGCTTGTGAATCTTTGAAATTCTCTGCTCGAGAGCACTGTGGCAGCTCAGCATCAGGCATGTTTAGGATAGAAATTGACAAATTTTCAAATAATAAATGTGCAAAGACAGGTGGCATCATTTTTTTGGGGGGGACAAGGTGGAGACCACGGAAGGCACCAAACTAGATGATCAACCATGATCGTGTTGAATAGCAGAGCAGGCTCAAAGGGCTGTATGGGATGCTGTTATGTTCCTGTTAGTTTATGACATTTTATTATGTTTTAAAGAACACAACATGAATGATTATGTTCAGGATTCTGACAAGGTTTGGTCTGGAAAAATCACCGATCTTTTTTGAAATGGAGAAGTTGATCCAAATGATGAGCTTGAACTTATTCTATTTGCTATTGTTATACAGTTATGTTGTTGTGCTTCTGATTAGATATGCAAAACCAATAATTAGGCTGATGTAACTGGTACTAACGTGGTCATTGTTTTGACTTCTGGTTAAACAATGGTGATAACACATTTTACCATTCATTTTACAGCATTCATCAGATGGCAGTAAGCCAGAGGACAAGGAAAAAATGGTAAGTTCCCATATTTCATTGAAGATCAGAATGTGCATATTTCTTGCTCCGACATTGTGTGGAAATGTGTGCGTATATTAATTATATTATGCTAGGTTTCTGTGGAAACAATTCTGCTATAAATCTTTTTTTACATAGCCACTTAAACAAACATATTTCTGGTAATTTGCATCAAACTTAGTTGGTCTGGGAAGTATTGTTGTCATAGGTATTGTAATTACAGTATAACAATAGCTGGTTATGCAGCAAACATATGAAACTGCTAAAAATACCAGTAGTAGTATGATGTGGACTGCCCGGGGACGACAGTTTATTTGCATTGCTTTGACTCCTTTTGGACAATGAAAAATTTGGTGAGCTAACATT